ATGAACAGACCTTGGCTTAGGGGTTTCCAGCTCTTAGTCCTGAGCTGCATGGAGGTTCTCAATGATTCTTCAGGTTTGGCTCAGAGGGTCGGCTCGGCAGGTTAGCTCTTCCAGAGCTTCACGAAGGAGACACAGGTTTCCTGGAAGACAGAGACAATGATTAGAATCCTGGCTGGATTCAAAGTCACGAAGTTTCTCAGAGAATCTAGGCTTAGGCGCTGACCAACTAGATCAACACTGCGGCGTTGAGGCAAGGTCTGAAGACAGCTTATATAGTGGATCCTCTGATGATCTTGATGGGCTGCAGCTGTGCAGGAGGCTCCCTCAGAGGATCCACGGCGGACTCTGCTGGAGAAAGGTGGAACTTCTCCAGCTCCCAACAACAAGTGGTTTGAAAGTGTTTGATGAAGATGATAATGATTAAAGGGGAGAAACGGACTCATGAGATAGAAAGTCCCTGCAGTTACCTGGCACAGCAATAGCAGTGTTCTTTGACAAACATGGATGCCTCTAGTAAAGCACATTCACATTATTTTATTGAACAGTATGTAATAATTTCATATTAAAATTACTTTCAGAAGTTGGAATTCTGAATATGACTCCTTTAAAATGGAGATATGAGAGAATTTAGTTGAGTGCTCTTATTCCGATTGACATTCTGCTTGACTGAAGATGTGGTGCAGTTTTTGATTGTAAATAATTGGTCAGTTGCCTTTCTATACAAATGGAAAAGAAGGCAGCAGGGTTCTTTAACCTGGGTATAACTAATTCTGAGGAGCTATTTTTGTTGTCTCAAGTTGGCTGTCAAAATGCATCCCAGTCTGTAATCCTAAAAAAACCTTTAACGGTGTCTTCAGTTTCCTCTGACAACTTCGTCACACTTTCCTTTATTGCAGCGGTCCACTGATAAAGGGACGTAAGCTATAGGTCTATACTGAGTAGAGGAAAACAAGCTGATGATGTGAATCACCAAGGGGTCTTGCTTAAGACATGACAAGTTTGCATAAAACATGTCTAAATGATGTTTTCTTTGACAGAACATGATCAAAGTAAACATTTATTGCCAAAAATGCATCGGGGTGTTATACCTTTAGCTTAGCCACAACTGAGTTGATGACATCACATGCTGAACTCTAATAGTGAATAATATGGATGAAAACTTACTGATAACCAGCTGATCAAGTGGTGATTCAGATCATAAATCATAAAACAAATCATACAAAATAAAAACTAAAAACAAATGGTTTACAGGTTATGCATCATAACAAGAATCCAACATTAGAAGAGAAAAAAAACTTCCTAAAAAAAAAGCTGCATTCCAACAAGAAGGGGAGCTGCAGTTCTTTTTAAAGGATATATCAAAATCAAACTAGTGATGTTACATCAGCATACAGCCACCTTAAAAACTCAAAACTATACAGAAATCTATTATGGAAGTGCACCAGAACAGTGGCCTGCACAGACTTTTTAAAGGCAAAGGGTGGAAAGTAAAAAAAAAGAAAAAAATGGCACCTATACATCGCAACCTCATCGCTGTAGGCGGCACTTGAGCTCCAAGGAGGGAAACTTTAACGCACATTCTGGCTGCCGATAGGGCACTTTAGCAAGCCATTTTCAGCAATTCAAGACACATATCCCCCTTTCCCAAAGACCATAAATCCTGTTTAAATGTGCGAACAATCCTCTTTTAGTGGCAATGGGAAAAGCTCACTGACGCGTGTCTACCTGGGTCAAACGACTCAGCAAGAATTAAATTCTCCTCAGCTCTGATCCGCATGCTGTTGGAACACCAGAGCACTAAATTACGTGATACCTTTGAAAGCAACATACAGACGTCGACACACCGCATCCATTGTTTCTGACCTAACAAGCAGAAACAATTCTATTTCCATTTGATAAACATGGAGCAGCTCTGGTGAGAGGGATTCAGACAGATGACAGAGAGAAACAGTAAAGCACACCGACTACACCCTGGCTTCCTTCCATGTTGCTCTCCATTGTTTACTTTCCTGATTTCTGTCACATTGGTGACATCATCAACTATAACCAGCTGTGAGTGAGGGGTAGACCAGCATTTTCTTGCCAGTGGGAAGGGAGTCAGATGCTTATTGTTAGCTGGTTGACCCGTGTTTACACACACATTAATTATTAATTAATGTGTGTGTAAAAACGGGTTTACACACACATTAACCGACTATTTTCAGTAGAAAAGAGGCTCAAGTGTGCAGAATCCATCTTGCATTTTTTGGGGGTGTTTTTAATTAACTGACTCTCTCTTTAGAGTGAATGCTTCTTAAAATAAGAAGTTACTTTTCTGATGTTCGCAGATGTTCAAGAAAGCGACTGATAACTCTGAAGTTTAGTTTTAAGAAGTGTGAATAGCACCTAACACGTTAACATCTAGGATGTGTGGTTTGTCTCTGAAGCTTTCGGTATGCAGATGACTATCAGGTTTAATTACAGTAACATCAAAATCCTGCCAATGTGGAACCTGCTGTACTGTCTGTTCTCCTACCATGGACAAAATTAATTCAATCCCCTTTAACCATCTAAGCTATAATGTTTAATGTGCTTTAAGAACAACCAAAAGTATTCTAAAGTGTACACAGTTTAAAATCTTATGTAGAATGGCAGTTATATCAATAGAAAATAATGTTAACTCAAATAAAGACATGGTGAAATTAAGTATTTAATGATTATACTGCAAATAAGGTATTTTGGGGTTATAACATTGGAAAGTATTAATCCATTTAGGACCAGTTAACACAATTTGAGGCCTTTTTTAGGTTTCCTGTTGAGGTGACATTCTCATTGATGCTGTAGAGAATTTTTACCGTAATATATGTTTTAATTGACATTTTCTTCTTTTATTTTGCCCTTTTTCATCAAATAGTCAGGTCAATCATTTGAAGCTACAAAAAGTGAAACGTGGCCAAGCAGAAAATTGCAAATATTTAACCTTTGATCTTTTGCCAATAGAAATACTCACTGTTATTCATCCATTTTCTTTCCCGACCCTGAGGAAAATAGTATTTCCCTGGCAACTGGAAAGTTGTTTTTGTCCTTGCCTCTGGCACCACAAGTGTCCTTTAGCAACAAACCGAACCTCACATTGCATTGAAATATGGATGGGTATGAATTGATGAATGTGAAAGTAATTTTACTGATGGAGACCAGAAAAATGACATTTACCAAGACATTAGGTTTGACCGATGAAGTAGAAATATTGATGCCAGGATTCTTAAACGAGCTAAAGTGTCAGCTTAGTTGGACAGTTCCAAGCATCTGAATGTGAAAAGGCTTTAGAATATTCCTGATTTAGACTTGCCCTTCATTACAGAAACAGATTCGACTGACTTTTTCGAAAATGTTACTTTGCCATTTAAATCTCTGTGGCTGGCAGCACATGAAGCATCCACCCGCCTGCAGCTCGTCCAGCTAACTGCTTACATCTCACCCAAAGCCTGATGCTGCTTGGATTTTGGCCAAACTCCCAGTGCCTCAGTGTTAAAGTAAAAGCTCCCTGGCATTCTGTCTCCAGCCTGCCATCCTGTCATTAACAGTTAAAGCTCTCCATTTACAGACGGAGCAGAGAGGGAATTCCAGGTGCCAGGGGGCAGCAGTTACACAGATAGATTACCTGTAAATTCCACCCAGGGGGGGACTAAGAGCAGAGACATCAACAGACTTCACACACACACACATTCTGGTCTTACTCTACGTAGTGAGGACCATATGTTGATTCTCACTGATTTTCAGGCGACTTCAACTCTATCTATGCCCTAACCCTGACATGAACCATCAAATACAGCAGTAGCCATTCAAAATTTCACCACTTTCCTTGGCTGGTCCCCTATGATTCAAGTTTTAAACATCAATCTTTGTACCAAAATATTCTGTCACGATTTGTGGACATTAAGATCTAAAAAAAAAGTGTCATCTCCTGGTCAGATCCTGTAATTCAGTGAAAGGATGGAGTGAGAGTTAAAAAAATATGCACACCTATGAGAAGGCCAGTGGCTGGAAGGGATTTTGCTGCCATTCAGCTTGCTTTTGACTGGGAAGGGCCATTTGGAATGGCTGCTACTGAAGGTAATCACCTGTGAATACTCAACCCTAGCCTCAATCAAATTCACACCTTAGTGCCAAATGTAAGCACTAAAAAGAAAGAGAGGACCAGCAAAAAATGTCCTCACTTTGGTACAAACATTTCTCAACTTGATACTGAAATCAGAAAAATGATCCTCACTCTGATACGCAAACAAGAGCATGCACACACACAGAAGAAGTTCTCTCAAGTTAGTGTATGGCCCACAGCAGGACGCGTCGGGCCAGAGCACTTCATTCAGGATGCAGGAAGAGGATGGTGGTGCTGCTGCAATCTGACTGGCAAATGTGAAATGTGATGGGAGTTGGGAACATAAGGTCAGGCCGGTGATGGAAAGTCATGATAATGATTGAGTTAAATGGCAAAGGTCATAATGGTGCGGCTGGGCCATCTGCATGCTAACACTGATGGAGAACAGACTGACGTAGCACCTTCCATACGCAAGCTGAACCTGGAAACTTTTCCAACCACGGGGAAGGTAATGAGCTCCAGGCAACCTCGTTCCAAAATGATCCCTTTGCAAAACAAGGGGAGAGAAATCATTAAGTATTAGAATTCTAGAATGAATATAAAAAGGCACCACAGCTATATCTGGCAATCTGACATCAGAAATGGCTTCTTCTGATCCCTAACCTGTTGATAAAGTTTAGATAAACTACATCCTTCCTGTTTGTTTATTGGGAGTTATTACTAAATGCTGGGAGAAATGTTTAACAGTTAATAGATTTTAAACTCATATTGCTATCTATCGGGGTGAATCATGTATTGAACCACTCAGACTTGTTTGTATTGTGTTCTTTCAGTACATGTGATGGTCCACAAAGGCAACACAAACTATCATGTTAATAATTCTTCACAGTAAATTATCATGTTAATAAAACTTCACAGTAAACATCTCTAAAAAGATTTTTGCTTGGTGGCTTTTGGAATTAGTTTCATCCTTCCTCAGTGAAACGGAAAACTGTGCAGCAGACTCCATCACTGATCAGCAGGAACCACCTCCAGGATGATCTGCACTGTTCTGTTGAAGGAGTCTGTGGGGGGAGAAAAGAAAGGCTTCATTCCACATGGAGCTGCTTTCAGCTCATTACTACAGATTCAGACCTGCATCAGCATCTACTGAGACATACGAGGTAAAAATCAACCGTTTTCTCAGAAAAGCTGAGACAAAGGACAAGGAGACCCTGATGGACACAATATGAAAATAGTTTAATCCATCCATCATCCATCATTCATCCATTTAATATTCATCCATCCATCCATCATCCATCCATCCATCATCCATCCATCATCCATCCATCCATTATCATCCATCATTCATCCATTATTCATCCATTATCCATCCATCCATCCATCCATCATCATCCATCTAACCATCCTCCATCCATCCATCCATCCATCATCATCATCCATCATCAATCTATCCATCGTCCATCCATCCATCCATCCATCCATCCATCATCATCCATCTAACCATCATCCATCCTCCATCCATCCATCCATCCATCCATCATCATCCATCTAACCATCATCCATCCATCCATCTAACCATCATCCATCCATCCATCCATCCATCCATCCATCATCATCCATCTAACCATCATCCATCCTCCATCCATCCATCCATCCATCATCATCCATCTAACCATCATCCATCCTCCATCCATCCATCCATCCATCCATCATCATCATCCATCATCAATCTATCCATCGTCCATCCATCCATCCATGTATCATCATCCATCTATCCATCATCCATCCATCATCCATCCATCCATTATCCATCCTCCATCCATCCATCCATCCATCATCATCATCCATCATCAATCTATCCATCGTCCATCCATCCATCCATCCATCCATGCATCGTCATCCATCTATCCATCATCCATCCATCCATCATCTTCATCCATCGTCCATCCATCCATCCATCATCATCCATCATCCATCCATCATTCATCCATCATCCATCCATCCATCCATCATCATCCATCATCCATCCATCATCATCATAATCCATCATCAATCGTCCATCCATCCATCCATCATCTTCATCCATCATCTTCATCCATCATCCATCCATCATCATCATAATCCATCATCAATCGTCCATCCATCCATCCATCCATCATCTTCATCCATCATCTTCATCCATCATCCATCCATCATCATCATAATCCATCATCAATCGTCCATCCATCCATCCATCATCATCATCCATCATCTTCATCCATCATCCATCCATCCATCATCCATCATCAATCGTCCATCCATCCATCCATCCATGCATCATCTTCATCCATCATCCATCCATCCATCATCATCCATCATCAATCGTCCATCCATCCATCCATCCATGCATCATCATCCATCATCTTCATCCATCATCCATCCATCCATCATCCATCCATCCATTATCATCCATCATCCATCGTCCATCCATCCATCATCCATCATCTTCATCCATCATCCATCATCATCCATCCATCCATCATCCATCCATCCTCATCCATCATCCATCCATCCATCATCATCCATCATCCATCATCCATCCATCCATCATCTTCATCCATCATCCATCCATCCATCATCCATCCATCATCATCCATCATCCATCCATCATCCATCCATCCATCCATCATCCATCTATCCATCATCCATCCATCCATCATTCACCCATCCATCATCCATCCACCCATCATCCATCCATCATCATCTTCATCCATCATCCATCCATCATCCATCCATCATCCATCTATCCATCATCCATCCATCCATCATCATCCATCCATCATTCATCCATCCATCATTATCATCATCCATCATCATCCATCTATCCATCCTCCATCCATCCATCATCATCATCCATCATCCATCCATCCATCCATCCATCCATCATCATCCATCCATCATTCATCCATCCATCATCCATCCACCCATCATTATCATCATCCATCATCATCCATCTATCCATCCTCCATCCATCCATCATCATCCATCATCATCCATCATCCATCCATCCATCCATCATTATCCATCATCCATCCATCCATCATCATCCATCTAACCATCATCCATCCATTTATCCATCCATCTAACCATCATCCATCCATCTAACCATCATCCATCCATCCATGCATCATCATCCACCATCCATCCATCCATCCATCCATCCATCCATCATCATCCATCTAACCATCATCCATCCATCATCATACAGCCATCCATCCATCCATCCATCCATCCTTCCACCCATCATCCATCCATCCATCCACCCATCATCCATCCATCCATCCATCCTTCCACCCATCATCATCCATCCATCCACCCATCATCCATCCATCCATCCATCCATCATCCATCCACCCATCATCCATCCATCCATCATCCATCCACCCATCATCCATCCATCATCCATCCATCCATCCATCATCCATCCACCCATCATCCATCCATCCATCCATCATCCATCCACCCATCATCCATCCATCCATACATCATCCATCCATCCATCATCCATCCATCCATCCATCCATCATCCATCCATCATCCATCTAACCATCATCCATCCATCATCATACAGCCATCCATCCATCCATCCATCCATCCATCCATCCATCAACCATTTTATTCACTGCTCCACAGGCAGACAGAATGTTCCTCCTGGAAGGTTTGGTCTTTCTAATAAAGTTCTTTCAAATGAACATTATGGTTGCTTCCTTCAGGAATATGCAACAAGCTTTACTCTAATCTAAATCTTCATATTTTCCAAACTATACCTTAGTCTTTATCTAAATCATCTCCCTAGATTATTATAAACAGAATAAAGTAGAGGAAAGTGTTTCCAACAGGCAGTGGTGTCAAAAGTTCACACATTTGTTACTTAAGTAGAAGTATAGATACTGCAGTTTAAAAATACTCTGGTAAAAGTTGAAGTATCAACTTGACCTCTTTACTCAAGTAAAATGGAAAAAGTATGAGCTCCAAAAACTACTTAAAGTATAAAAGTATAAAGGAACCTTTAAAAACCTTTAAAAACAGACAGAGACTAGCAATAAGCAACAATATTCTTTTTTAAACACATTTAAGAAGATATTTAGTATATCTCCTTTAACAAAGTGTACCAGGCTGTGGACAATGAAAAGTGCTTGGAGAGACTTTATAAAGGCACTTAAAATTGAAATGTAATCCTTCTTGGGGCTTTGTATTTGTAGTGGAATAAAACCTCAAACTGTAGAGATAATAATCTAAGTTTATAGGCAATATTAGTAAGAGTATCATTGATACCTTCCTTCAAAGACGTTGATTGAAGCTTAATGATATGGATATCATTTTGGTGCAAAAAGAAAAAACAGAAATAAATAGAAAATTATTTTACAAAAAAGTTACCTAAAGCTTTTTGAAGCCACTTTGGTCTGCTAAAGTAGATAAAAATGTAGTAAGCAGGGATGCCAGTGAGGGACATGACGAATCCAATTCCAGTGTTGAAAGGGTCGGAGTACAGTGAGAGGAAGACCATGAAGAAACATGTCAGACAAAACACCACAGGGATGAAGAGTGGCACCTGCGGATGAGACGAGAGGACTGATGTCATTCAATATGGCAAAAAGAGAACACCATCACACTTATTTGATATAAAACCAAGTGAATACCAAATGTATTATTTCTGAAGGAACCTTTTTTTTGTGTGAATAAAATGTATTTTATCCACTGGTGTTTAAAATATTTTTTATGATGCCAATGCAAAACAATAGCAAGGTTGTTGTTGTTTTTTTAACAACTGGGAGAGGCTGATAAAAAGCTGTCAAAATATTTTAACTACATCCCTGAATCTCAGATGAGCTGAAGAGGAGGCTGGCAGGATGCTGATAGAGAGGGAGGATATTTAAGTTATCACTTCCATCAATAATAACGGCATATTGAAGTTAGCAAACATGTTGGATCAACCTTAAGCCCTAACAAGGTAGCAGTCAAGATATCAAATACAGTATAATGTTTCACTGATTAAATCGCCACCTCCAGTCTCTCTCTCAACCATACCTTCTAAATCCCAATCAGTTCACAAGAAGGACGGGAATAGACCGTACTTCCAAACCATTCAGGAAACCCCTATAACAAAAGCTACAACATTTAATTTATCTTTGGTATCGATAATGTATTTTAAAATTAAATTAAATTCTTGGAGCTAGTCAACCACAGAGTAGGAACTAGGGGTTTAACGATACTTGGGTCACGATAGTATCACAATATTGAAATATCACTATATATTACATTAGTTTTCCCAGCTATCAAAATGAAAAGAATAAAAAATAAATTGATGTAAATGTTCATTAGAATCCATGTTGACTACAGTAATGGTGCTGCCGCACACAGCAAAAGGCCTCCACAGCAATACAGGTGCTGGTCATAAAATTAGAATATCATGAAAAAGTAGATTGATTTCAGTAATTCCATTTAAAAAGTGAAACTTGTATATTATATTCATACATTACATACAAACTCATATATTTCAGATGTTTATTTTGTTTAATTTTGATGATTACAAATGACAACAAATGAAAATCTCAAATTCATCATATCAGAAAATTAGAATATTGTGAAAAGGTTCAAAATTGATGGCCCCTGGTGCCACACTCTAATCAGCTAATTAACTCAAACCACCTGCAAAAGCCTTTAAATGGTCTTTCAGTCTAGTTCTATAGGCTACACAATCATGGGGAAGACTGCTGACTTGACAGTTGTCCAAAAGACGACCATCGACACCTTGCACAAGGAGGGCAAGACACAAAAGGTCATCGCTAAAGAGGCTGGCTGTTCACAGAGCTCAGTGTCCAAGCACATTAATAGAGAGGCGAAGGGAAGGAAAAGATGTGGTCGAAAAAAGTGTACAAGCAAGAGAATTAACCGCACCCTGGAGAGGATTGTGAAACAAAACCCATTCAAAAATGTGGGGGAGATTCACAAAGAGTGGACTGCAGCTGGAGTGAGTGCTTCAAGAACCACCACACACAGACGTATGAAAGACATGGGTTTCTGCTGTCGCATTCCTTGTGTCAAGCCACTCTTGAACCACAGACAGCGTCAGAAGCGTCTTGCCTGGGCTAAAGAGAAACAGGACTGGACTGCTGGTGAGTGGTCCAAAGTCATGTTCTCTGATGAAAGTAAATTTTGCATTTCCTTTGGAAATCAAGGTCCCAGAGTCTGGAGGAAAAGAAGAGAGGCACTTCATCCACGTTGCTTGAAGTCCAGTGTAAAGTTTCCACAGTCAGTGATGGTTTGGGGTGCCATGTCATCTGCTGGTGTTGGTCCATTGTGTTTTCTGAGGTCCAGGGTCAACGCAGCCACATACCAGGAAGTTTTAGAGCACTTCATGCTTCCTGCAGCTGACCAACTTTTTGGAGATGCAGATTTCATTTTCCAACAGGACTTGGCACCTGCACACAGTGCCAAAGCTACCAGTACCTGGTTGAAGGACCATGGTATCCCTGTTCTTAATTGGCCAGCAAACTCTCCTGACCTTAACCCCATAGAAAATCTATGGGGTATTGTGAAGAAGAAGATGCAATACACCAGACCCAACAATTCAGAAGAGCTAAAAGCCACTATTAGAGCAACCTGGGCTATCATAACACCTGAGCAGTGCCACAGACTGATCGACTCCATGCCACGCCGCATTGCTGCAGTAATACAGGCCAAAGGAGGCCCAACTAAATACTGAGTGCTGTACATGCTCATACTTTTCATGTTCATACTTTTCAGTTGGCCAACATTTCTATAAATCCTTTGTTTTTATTGGTCTTCAGTAATATTCTAATTTTCTGATATGATGAATTTGAGATTTTCATTTGTTGTCATTTGTAATCATCAAAATTAAACAAAATAAACATCTGAAATATATGAGTTTGTATGTAATGTATGAATATAATATACAAGTTTCACTTTTTAAATGGAATTACTGAAATCAATCTACTTTTTCATGATATTCTAATTTTATGACCAGCACCTGTATCTACCATAGTGGTGGTACATTTTCCCTCATTGTTTTAGATTAAAAAAAAAAAAAATTGAAGTTGATACTAAGATCTGAAAGTTCGATATTATATTAGGCAGGTGAAAATCCTGATATATCACCAAAAACACGTCGGCATACGGCGAGAATTACAGTGTGTGCACATACATTGGCCCAGGGGCGGCTTTAGGAAATTTGGGGCCCTAGGCAAAGACAGGCAGGGGGCCCTCTGAATGGAGAAGACAGAAAACATTCCCATTCTACAGAAATAGAAATGTTAATAGAAATGACATCCATTCTCTGTTCTAGGTTGTGTCCCTCTCTTGTTTCTTTTCTTCTTGTTTTCTTCTCTATGTTTTGTACTCAGCTGACTTTTCATGCTGTCTCTAAAGGAATGAAAGATTTTTTCCAAGCACTAAGCTCACTTAGCTGATTGCTCCTTCCTGTGTTTCCAAAAAGGCCAAAGTAAATAACCCAGTCCTTCTTTTCACTGTAGACAAGCCATGATCTGCTTCTCTGTTCTCCATTTTTCATTTGGATGAAATAATAGCTGCATGAATCATGACAGCAGACAAGATAGAGGAGAGCAGGAGGCGGGGTTACCAATCTACTCGCTCTGGAGAGCAGAGTTCGCTGCTTTTAGATGCTGTCTCCAAAGTCTCCAGTAGCAGAAAAAAGTCTCTAGATTTGGCGCTAGGAGCTTTTTAGAAATCAAAGTGCTAGAGGGGTCTGAAAAGTGGCTAAATATAGCGACTAAAGCGCTAAGTTGGCATCACTGCTCTTTGCATGGTTTGTTTTCAAATGGTTTGCTGCTGTCTGTTTGGAACTTTCTGAACATGTGCAGCAAATGGACTGATCCAATATGGTGGACACTGAAGGGGGGGGCTGAGACACACTTAATATTATCAGCGTTCTGATGGCATTTTAGCCAAAGGATTTTTATCAAAAAAATTATTAATGTGCACAAATAAGGAATAGTTGTATTAACCATACATGGAAACAGAGTTTTATGGGGCCCCCAGGAACTCAAGAAGTTCTCTCCAACGCATATCAACGTATCTGAGATGTTTCTAACTTCCAGCTACTGTATAATGGCGTATTGGCAGCGTTTTAGTATAAAGGGGTTCACAGGAGGAAACCGTCAGTTTTACTCCAGACTTCATCCCCATCATAGGGTGAGCCAGAAGGTGAGTGATGGATCCTCCCTGCGTTCACGCCCACCACCAACAAACTTCCTAGCAGACATGAATGAAGCTGAATCTGCCGACACCAAAAACCTTCTTTCTTTCTTTTTCTTTTTTCTTTTTATTTATTCTTTTTTTTTTTGGGCGGGCGGTAAACGGCAGCTAGATTAATACCCCGATCACAGAAATGTTTTTATGGAGAGCGGGTGCCTACGTGCCCATTGCTGCCCCCCTCAGGTCACTGGCTTGTGCATCATTTCATGAGCATTATGCTGCCGTGCGTTATGCAGAAGTTAGGCTGACGTTGGACAGAAGTTCTGGACTCATTATAAATACTCTATGTATACGCCCAAAAATGAAAAAAATACATACAAAGTTCAGTGTATGCAAGTGTTTAGGAGATTCTGGGATGTCAGACATACACTGGGTAAATCAGGAAGGTGTGACAGGGCCCTAAGGCTAGAGACTTAAAGATATATACTTCTCTAGAAGTTTGCAAAACTAGTGAATGTCGAAAATGCAACTATAACAACGGTTTGATGAAATAGTTTGAAGCATGTATGAAAGATTAGTGTAAAGTATTTTGAATGAAGGCTTTTGGTCTGCATTCAAACCAAATATAGTAACACAAAATGTTGCTATATTTGGTTGAAGATGCCCAGACACTTACCTTAAAGGGGCGGGGCAGATCAGGCTTGGTAAATCGGAGGTAGATTAAACCCAGAACCACCACTCCAATAAACAGCCACCGCAGAAAACTCATGAAGTTCAGCAGGCTGTAAATGTCCCCGACGAAGAGCTGGAGAAGGGTCATTGGATACTGCAAAGACATAAACTCACTTCACTATATTTTATAAACTGGAGATGACATATGGTTACATGATAATATTGTCTGTTGAATAAAAAGAACCCTGGAAGCAGACGGACCAGTATGAGGACAGCAGCCAGTGGAGTGTGTCTGCGGACATGGATCATAGACAGGACCTCAGGGAGATGGCCCTCACGTGACGCTACATAGAACATTCTGGAGGATGCATGGAACACAGATAAACATGAGATAATGGAAACTACTGGACAATATAATAACAGTGCAGAAAAAGCAATAGTACAGCAACCAGGAGATAATACATATGGCTGTGCATCCTAGCCCAGGATGCCCAGTGTCTTACATTTTAAAATTTCTTCTCTGCTTGAACACACTTGACTTACATGCAGTATTAACAGGCTCCTGCATAAAGGCCTAGTAGATCATTTAATTATTATTTCTATCAGGTATTAGAAGAAGGATTCCATCCTACAGGGAACCAGCCCTTGATTATGTCAGTCTGGTAGATCCATGGTTTGTCAGCAAAAAACCCTGATTGTCAGCTAAATACTCTTCTACAGTAAAGGCCATTAAAAATATCCCCTGTTTCCTTGATGGGTCCTTGGCTGGTCCCCTTTAATTCCTTTTAAAACATCAATCTTTGTATGTTGATGAAGGTTCTCAGTCATCCAGGTCATAGTCATTCCGTAAAAATTAAAAAAATATCCATTGGACTTGGTTTCCAAGATTTGAAGACATTTCACCACCTCTCCAGGAAGCATTTGAATTGAGAAAGCTTCCTGGAGAGGTGGCGAAACGTCTTCAAATCTTGGAAACCAAGTCCAGTGGATATTTTTTGAATATATCTTTTTTATTTTTACAAAATCAATCTTTGTACTAAAATATTCTTTCTGTCATGATTTGTGGACACTAAGATAAAGAGAAGCCTCATCTCCTAGACAGACCCTGAGTCAGAGTGCAAAATATATGCAAGGGGGGGGCCCCTCTAGGGGGTGGCCCTTTCCAGTCAAACGCCAGCCTTTTTGACTGGAAAGGGCCATTTTGAATGGCTGATACTGTATGATTGAGTAGTATTTTCAAGACTTGGACTTATATGTTGGGCAGGCTACATTCAGGATGGGTTGTCGGTCAACCACAGGGCAGCATAGAGACCCACAGGACAAACAACCATGATCACCTACATATCCAAGGGTGACCCAGAGAGACCATTAAATCTAATAGTCATATTTTTAAGACTGCGTTAGGAAGCTAGAGGACCTGGATGTAGCATGATGACTCCATTCAGAGAGGAATCAAATCCAAGACCTGCATGGAACAAAGCAACAATGCTACAAACTGCCAATCCCTGCAGTCCTTCTCTTAAACATCTTAAATTAAATTATTTAGTTATGTTCTAAATCTTGAGGCTAGATTGAAAAATAAACGTCCACTTTATGTTATTTAAATTCATTTTTAAAAAAATGTTTTCATCACAGCAAAAAGCATATTTTGATATAAACAAAATCCACTTCTTAGATTACTTTCACCATTGGGAGAATATCTGGTCTGCAATGTTAACACCACTAAAGGAAAAACTTGACCTACGTTCAGTAATCATATGAATGAGGTTACGGCCAGACTGATGGGTAGTGAACTTCATAAGTTGTGCTCATGCCATTTGCTTATCATGTCTTTTTTAGCACGTATTGAAATTGTCTTCACGAATGAGGGGAAGATGGAGCGGGAGATTGACAGGCTGATTGGTGCGACGTCTGCTGTGAAGCGTGCCCTGTCCTCTGTGGTGGTGAAGAGAGACCGGAGCCAAAAGGCAAAGCTCTCAATTTACCGGTCAATCTATGTTCCTACCCTCATCTATGGTCATGAGCTTTGGGTCATGACCGAAAGAAGGAGATCCCGGATACAAATGAGTTTTCTCCGTAGTGTGTCTGGGCTCTCCCTTAGAGATAGGGGGAGGAGCTCAGTCATTAGGGGAGGACTCAGAGTAGAGCCGCTGCTCCTCCACATCGAGAGGAGCCAGTTGAGGTGGCGCGGGCATCTTATTAGGATTCCTCGTGCACGTCTCCCTGGTGAGGTGTTCCAGACACGTCCCACCAGGAGGGGACCCAGGGGGAGACCCAGGACACACTGGAGGGACTATGTTTCTCGGCTGGCCTGGGAGCGCCTTGGGGTTCTCCCGAAGGAACTGGCACAAGTGGCTGGAGAGAGGGATGGATGGATGGATGGATGGATGGATGGATGGATGGATGGATGGATGGATGGATGGATGGATGGATGGATGGATGGATGATGGATGGATGGATGGAAATTGGGATCTTTGTTGTTAAAAGAACATGGGCATTGCTGCTCTTTAAAACAAAACTAGCCTTCTGGAATCAGATGGGGGTGAATCCACAGCTGCCAGAATAACTAAAACATTAACATTGATTGTATAATAACTTGAACCCAGTTCTGAATTTGGCTTCAAGCAGAGAAGAAGAATCTTTACCTTGACAAGGCAAAGTGACCGCCGTTCATTGAACCAAAACAGGACAAGGCTACAAACACCGGGACTGCAATGGAGAAGTTCCCTAATAGCCTCTCTGCAAATGTCTGAAGAAAGATAAACAACACAAAAGGGAAGTAAGAAGAAAATGTACACTTTAATATCAAGAGTAGAACATTGGGTCAATAATTGGTGTGTGTGTGTTTGTAATGGTTGATTATTTCTTTATATAAAGACCCCAATATTGCTCTGGAGCTATGAAACGGGTAGTTTCCCTATGCATATTTTATAGAATGTAGTTTTCACACAATACTTTGTCATTAATGGGAAACTAGTGCTTATATTTTTACATTTAAGCCACTTTGTATTCATGAAACACATGACTTTATATTACTAAAATATGTACTGCAGTGAAGACAATGTCAATGCTACAATATAACATGAATCAGATTTATTGAAGCAGTAATTCACTCGGTTCTTACATGAGTTAATATGAGCAGTTATCTCACTAGATTTCTTGCAGTTTCACATATAAACCAAAATATGGTCTGTTTAACTAATTCTGACAACATAATTTACATTTAAACTATTTTCCATGCAACAAAAACACAGACTGATATATTCTATTAAAACTGATATTCATTCATTTTAAGATATGCATGGAAAACCAGCTGTGTGGAGAAGCATGGACGAAATGTTGGTACAACTCGTTCAAAGAAAGAAAAACTCACAATGGGCACTCAAAGACTTACGCATGACTAAAGTAATAATACATGAAAATTCTATGAAAATGACAAAATGAAAGTCAGACATTGGCTTTTCAATCATGCTTCAAAAGGATTATTAAGAGAATAAAGTCATGAAACAGGCCTAGACTAAAATGATGGTAGCCCTTGAAAAGATTGAAAAGACGTGTTATCAGGGTGTTTACACTAAATAGCATCTCAGGTGTCTACAATCTAATAATCACTCAGTGGGCATATATACTGAACTCCTTCTAAATCCAGAATAGAATTTAAAATCCTCCTTCTCACATATAAAGCCTTAAATGGCCAAGCTCCATCTGATATCAGAGATCTGATTGTTCCTTATGTTCCTAACAGAGCACTTCGTTCTCAATCTGCAGGTTTACTAGTGGTTCCTAGAACTTCTAAAAGTAGAATGGGAGGCAGATCTTTTAGTTCTCAGGCTCCTCTCCTGTGGAACCAACTACCAGTTTTAGTCCGTGAGGCAGACACCCTGTCTACTTTTAAGGCTAGGCTTAAAACTTTCCTTTTTGATAAAGCTTATAGTTAGAGTGGCTCATGTTATCCTGAGCTATCTCTATAGTTATGCTGCTATAGGCTTAGACTGCTGGAGGACATAGGGACCCCTATTTCATCATTCTGCTTAGTTATGCTGATATTGAAAGTCAATGAGGCAAAGCAATCAGCTGGGCTTCCATAAATGAAAAGCTTTGAACTGATCTGACTGAATTTCTCTCTAAAGTGCCTTGAAATAAAATGTGATGTGAAATGGTAGCAAATGAATAAACTTAAATGTATTGAAATACCAACTGTAACCCTAGTTTTTTTTTTATATTCCTGTTCTAAAGGTATTTTACAATGAACCTGAAAAAACAGGGATGGTCTATTTTGTTTACATAATATTCTATATATCTTTCAAATAAGTCTTATAATTAATATGCAAGTTTTTGTGTTGCTGCTAGTTCTGTTAGCTTCCTTCTGACCTGCTTCTGTCCCAATAGAAAAACCGCCACAGTCCAAAGGCTCTTCAAACCAAGACAAAGACGTTCAGGTACACAAACTTTTGTCTCCGTGGGTCTTTAGTCAATTTTATCTTATTCATAATTCATGCCTAAAATAAACCAAGAAACAATTCAAATGTTTAATGAGTTTTAATGGCTTTATTAGCAATATATCAGATATATGTGAATTTATGGTCATGAGCGAAAACTGTTCCATTTTTAGTCTTTTATTATTAACTGTGGATAATCAGGCTGAATTCAGAGGACTGAAAGGACGGCTGGCAGTAATTGTCATAAATGGGTCATGCAGAAGTGGGAGACAAGGCTGATTATTATTCATGAAGCTATTAAATTCTTAGCAACCACGGGCATTGCTGGCATGGATAAATATAGCCAGTAAAGAGGGAAAGCTGGATTAATTAAATACATGTAAAAATGCCACTTTACACTAAAATAATGATAAGGTTTAAATAAAAAATGCTAAATGATTTAGGGGGAAATGAAGCTGTCGTATGCCGGCCATATCTTTAAAAATGTAATTATGCCAACTTAAAGACTTTGTTGATCTATTTAGCAAGAGCTCAGGGCCTTTTACAGACTTGAATTAAGAAAACGTGACTAGAGACCAATCTAGCAACTTAATCTGGTGCAGTTAGACTCTCTCTATTCTCCTACTCTGCAGAATCTGTTAGTTCAATCTCTAACGTTCTGCTCTCTCTGCTTTTTCTCATAGTAGCTTCATCTGGTCTGTTCCTGTTTGGCTGTGACTCCATCCTGGAGAGAAATATCAGCTGTGCTGCTGCCATCAACACCTTTGTTTCTAGATGCTGGAGATCAGCCTGTTTTCCAGTGTAGTCCTGTTTCTTTGAACGTGACTAATTGGATGTGCTCTCTTCATCCTCTGACATGGGAGCTGGCTCGGAGCTCGTCTGCCTGGCTGTGTGTTTCCTGGACGGGGCCGCCTGTAGAGCTAGTTGACAGTTGCCTTTTTTATCTATGCTTCTTTTTCTATCTCTGCTTCTGTCTCCTTGAACCCCAGTCGGTCTCAGCAGATGGCCGCTCACACTGAGCCTGGTTCTACTGGAGGTTTCTTCCTGTTCAAAGGGAGTTTTTCCTCTCCACTGTCGCTACAAGCATGCTTAGTGTGAGGGATTGCTGAAGAGTCAATGAGTCGATGCAATCAGCTGGTTTTCCTTAGATAGAAAACTTTGAATCAATCTTACTGGGTAATCTAGTGACCTGTAGCGTACCTTGAGATGACATGTGTTGTGAATTGGCGCTAAAGAAAATAAACTGAATTGAATTGAATTAAGGTGATTAGTGACGTATGGTTCAACCTGTCCTTCCTATTGAGAAAACATTGGTTGAAAAGACATTAAAAAGATTATATGATTTAGGAATAACGTCAACATTTGGTTGAAAATTGTGAAAAACTGCAATTTTGAGATCATTGAAAGGATGTTTGCAGCGACTTTTCTCTTTCTATTTCTATTTATGCACTAAAGTGGGACAAAATCAGAGTGACCAAAAACAGCCCAATTTTCAACAACTATTTCTTGACTTAATCCAGAATATGACGGATCAAACAGATTTGGCCTAAAAGCTAACATCTAAATGCCGTTGGTTTCCATGGGCTCCTCCTATGTTACAGCAGTCACAGTTAAAAGCTGTTGTAATAATTGGACAGATTTAAGGTAAATTATTTTTTCCACTTCCTGTGTCTTACACTGCTACATTAGAGTTTGTTCACACTGAACATGAACAAGGCCATTTTTTTTTGCATGGTTCGCCTGTCGTGGCCAGTTTGACATGTCGCGTGTCTCTCGCCAACAATCGGCACAAACTCCAAAGGTTAAAAAAAGCTGGAAGAATGGATTGTTATGTAGGAGGAACAGAGAGCAGCTCTGATCATTATTGATGCACTAAAACATTTTTATGAACAAAAGGGATACATGCCCGTTGAGGTACATTAAAGTGTATGGTTCGTACAAAACTAAAGGGATAAACTAGATTAGATTAGATTCAACTTCACTGTCATTACACAGGTATAGGTACAAGGCAACGCAATGCAGTTTAGGTCTAACCAGAAGTGCAATATCAACAAGTGCAGGATATACAATATTATTACTATAAAATGAATAAATAAAACTAAAACTTGGACAAAAGCTTTCAAAATTAAAGTGCAGTGGAAGGTAATTGCATATTACAGTTAAAGTACGGTATTGCAAATTTAGATGTAAACAACTGGTGCTGTGAATAAACAGTCTGCAGTGCAAATCAATATTCCAGTCAAGGTAAGAAGTGCAAGATGCAATTAAACAGCTGTTACTATAGTAACAGTCAGCAGTGCAAGTGAACATTATAGTATTGAAATATATAAATAATAATAATAATAAATGGAGGCAGACTTGAGGAGGGAGAGGAGAGTCTGTCACTACAGTATATGAGCGGAGTGTGATCAGTGAGGATTAGAGTTCAATAAAGAGACAGCTCTGGGGAAAATGTTCTTTAGTTCAAAGTTCTTTACTTCCTTTAAACTCAAAGTATAAACGGTATTGACTATGGGTATGCTGGTCTGACGGGGTATGCTGGTCTGACGGGGTATGCTGGTCTGACGGGGTATGCTGGTCTGACGGGGTATGCTCATCTGCCAGAACACTGGCGGTATGCCGGAGGTCTGGCGCAATGGTTTAACAACACAACAATAGGCCTGTCAGCTACATTATCTGGGTGGGCCCAGATATGGGCTCATATGAAGTAAAACATGTGATAAAGGCTCAGGATACAGTGACAGTTCCATAAATCTGCCAATAAGTTACAATTATGCAATTCTCAGTAGTATATGATCACAAAAATAATGACTGCGCACCTTGAATGGAACCAGTGGTGACAGCGCACCACCAAGCTGGATATACTTTAGTATATTAGCACAACAATCCATGGGGCTACCCTCAGCTTCACAGCCCCCCTCCTCACCCACGCTCTCTCCATTCATCTCCTGGTCTCAATCTTTACTCACTGTAGCAGCAACGTCCACCTTTGTCTCTTCGGTTCTTTGAAAGAACATGTTTATTTTGAGAATTTTTTTTCGTCACTTAAGTGCCTCTTTTTGGTTTCCATCGTTGCTAACACATTTTACATAACGGTCGTGGTTTTAATCTACGCTCTAAGTTAACAATAATTGCAAGTGGTTTCTTTTAAGGTCTTTATTGTTTGAAACATATTATATGAGCGTATTTTTATCAACCATCTAATGAACTGTACACAGTTATTAACATAGTAATTAAAAGTCCCACTGCCTGCTTTGCTATTAGGGTCGTGTTTAAACAGTCCACCATCACGTTAAAATCTGCCATGTGTTGCGGTATAAATGTGGTTCGGTGAGGTCAGTCTCTTCAGTGTTCAGTGGGTTTAAGAAGAATCTTTTGCACCATTACATCTGCAAAGAGAGGTCCTAGTCTACAATTGCGTGGGGGACCTGGGTGTCAGGGATGGGGCCCCTAAGTAGCCGTGGGCCCGTAAGCTTAGCGATATTTATGCCATTGGTCTGGTGATGCCAACAAGAACTGCAGATTTTAGTGGGATTATAATCCTGAAGAACTGATGAACAGATGATGTTTATAGATGGACTTTCTCACTTAAAAAATGGGTTAAAACTATTTTTCCAGCCCATATAGTAAACAAAGCAATGCTGCTCTCTAGCTTGAAGCTACAGAACAGAGGAGATAAACAGTCAAAGCAGCTGGACCACAGTTTGATCCAGCATCAAAGTTTCTCCGTAACACCTTTGTTGCATTAGAGCTCCATTTATTAACATTCACACAGATGAGCCAATGTGCCAGTGGCGGCCGGCCCATAGGGGGCGCTGGGGCACCGCCCTCCCTGATAAGAAGAGAGAAACGTAAAATATATTTTTAGAAATTAACTCATAAATGTCAGTTTTACTCTCTAGACTGTGTAACTATAAGCAAAACAAATTATATAAACTACATTTCCCTATCTACTGTCATTAATTTGTGGATTTCCACAGACAGACTCCTACCGTCTCTGTTCTGGGGGCTGTGATCAGACTGACCCACATTTGCAGAGAATCTGTCAATCATGTACTATTGCTAGATGAATTTAATGGCCAATCAGCGTCTCGGAACTTTATGGTATTGGGGCGCTGAAAATACTGCGCTTTAACAGGCTTCTGGACCCAAGCGCAGGTGCAGACAAGTAGAGGGAAGATGGCGAATGTAACGAGCGAGATGCAGCTTCCACCAAATTCGGTGAGATCCTTATTTATCTACCCGTTTGCCAGAAGAACATCCCTGTTGTATGATATGAACATTTCATTTCATGGTTATTGTGACTGTGACGAATCCACCTCGTCGCTTAAAACAACCTCTCTAACTTTGCGCGCCACACACACATTCCTGTTATACTGTGTTTGTGAGGACCAATTCACTCGCGCTGAGATCAGTAGCTCCATGAACTTAAAACACACAAGCTGTCCTGGTTACCTGCTGGCGTATTGAGGGTGCACACTTAATATTTCAGTGGGGTTAGCCGTGTGTGTGTGTGTGTGTGTGTGTGTGTGGGTATGTGGGGGGTGTGGGTGTGTACGTGTTTATGCTATGGGGACTTGTCATCTTCAGTCTGGCTGCGTCTTTGCTGGGTTCAAACCCAGTTTGGTGTAATTGAATAAGTCAATGAATCTGTGTAAAAGAATTAAGTTGTAAAAATTATTTGTTTTTGTACATCAATTGTTTGTGGAGGTAATATATGGACAAAACTGATTAATGAGAAGAAATCAGAAATAAGAGAGCCTGAGGTGAGGGGCTTAAACTATTGAATGAGGGCTGTGGGAAGAAAAGCGGCAATTTTTGTTTTCTGTTTCTTTGTTACATTGCTGGTAACTGGAGGGAGGCTGAGGCCCAGAGTATCTTGTATATGTTTAGTTTCTTTTGCACCCTGTTTTGAGTTTTTGAGCTCAATAAATCACCAACACCGGTAACCCGACTGAGACTGGATTCTTGGAGGCCAAAGAACCCCGTCACAGTGACCCAAATCATCACTGTTACTGTTATTATATAGTAAATTAAATCATTACTGTTAAATTGTATGTATTGTCCAATTGTTTATTTGAATTCTTATTCCGGGTTAGTTGGAGACATACACTAGGCTATATCAGCCCCACCAAAAATATTTTTCACCAGCCGCCACTGCAATGTGCATGTTACCTAACATGACAAAGTAGATTCCTGTAGTTTCCTACTGATCAAACCTACACACTGATCAGCTCTAAAAGAGCAGAAAACATTTTACAATAAAAATCTCTGATTTTGTTTCCATTGTTAAGATGTAGTCTTTATATTGTTTCACATCATCCAAGGAAAAATTTATTTTGTTCCAATGTTATTCAATTCAGTGTAATATTTTAATTAGCATTATGCACATTAAGCTGTAAATGTCGGACTACTTTAACCCTGATGGGTACTTACTGCTTTGAGCAAGATGCAAATGAAAAAGACCTTTAAATAATCCAGATCTATTCTATTTCTCTTAGCATCATATAATAGGAGCACGTCTCCTTTTTAGGTCGTCTAACATTACTGATTAGGAAATGCTGTGAGCTTAAGTCCGAGACATGAGTTAGATCTTAAATAAAGTTTTCAACATTAACTTCTGTCCACTGTCTGATGGAGGAAGAAAAGAGTGTAATCCTTTTATCATATCGACCTTCTAAAAAAACAGAAATGCTCTTAACATCTTTCTTAAGGCGCTCTTAACACTCGTTGTGCACAGGGCAATAAAGCTAACTGTATTACACAGGAGCAGGGATCCCTCAGTGATTGAGTCTTCCTCAACTAAAGGCGTGCAGATGCACTGATAGTGGTCTGCAGGCTAATAAGGAAAGGTGGCTGTTATTACCGAATGTCTGGGATGTGATTAACATTAACAGGATTGGGCCGGGGCAATTGCATTAGCGGGGAAGCAAAGTTGTCATAAATGCTTCTCTGGTAATGAGATGTTAAGTGCAGGAAGGTGGTGGGGGGGGGGGGGGGGGGGGGGGGTGAATCACTGTAGTATAAAAGGTGAAGCTGTCAAGGTGTGAAGGCAACTTTGTGGCGCAGAAGAACAAAGCCCAACTCTGTTCTGTTGTTTCCCAACATGGAGATCATATTAATGGCTCCTATTGTTTTTTTATCTTAGTTTAGGTCATTGATCACTTTCTTCATATTCAGCCAAAGATTCAGACCACTGCATTACTGCATTACTGACCCCAAATCAAACCTTTAGCAGGTTTATAAATCAGCTGTTTACTTTTAGGACACATGTGGGATCTTCTCTGTGATCTCCAGCAGGTAACGCTGTCTGGGTTTAATTAGCTGTTATTTCATTAATCAAGCCAAGGAGGGACAGGAGAACAAAGTCCTATAGATCCTTTGGTTAGTGCAACCTGCTTTTAATCACTAAGTCATTTATTTGATTACTCTTCAGAAAGCATGAAACGATTTCAATCTTCCCTTATGAAGCAATAGAAAATATTTCAACATATTTTTATTTAATTTAGGTAGGCTAAATATTCATGCTTTGATGAAATAATTTTAAGTGCATTTTTCTTGTTACTAAATATGTTATCTTCTAGTTTAAAATTTTCAAAGCAAGTTTAAAGACTTTATGGATTTGTTATAGCCGACTGATTTATGAGAAGACTGTATCTTAAACTGAAATCCAAAAGAACTGAAAGCTACAACCTTTGACTGCTTGGCAAATTATATCTGTTTACCTTTTGTACCTTTATTTGTTTCTCACAGACGGATAAATTCATCCATGGCGGAAACAGCAAAAGTATCCATATCTGAAAAACCTTTACTCTTCAAAGATAATCTGTTGTTTTGTTTTTCTTGTCCTCGTATAAAGATTTGATTCTTTCAGAAAACAAAAAGGGAGGCAGAACTGGTCATGTCTCAGCTCCTGATTCCTTCTTTTTACCACAGATTGGTAAAAAGAAGGAATCAGAAGAAAATAGGCCATTTATTTTATCAAGGAAGGAAGGAAGGAAGGAAGGAAGGAAGGAAGGAAGGAAGGAAGGAAGGAAGGAAGGAAGGAAGGAAGGAAGGAAGGAAGGAAGGAAGGAAGGAAGGAAGGAAGTTCTTACCACAGCGACAGCATCTGAGGCCAGGAGTTCTTCTGCTGACATCACAGTGTAGTAGGCCACATTGGTCAACACATAGCAGAAGGTCACTATAGCCATTGAGATACAGATGGCTAATGGGACCGTCCTGGAAGCAGAAAGATGGTTTAGAAAGAGGTAGGCTGCTCCTAACCTCCTTCTCCTCTTTTTCTTTTAGGTACTTCCAATTTATGGAAAGGTTTGTTACATTTCTAGTAAGAAATAATGTATCATCGAACATCGTCAACATCAGTGTTGTTCAATAGTCTGCAGCCTTCCATGTTTGTTTTTTATAAAGTGCTTAAGGCAACCTACTCTGGGGACTTCAGGGATGCAACCTTTTACTATGATATGATGTTATATCGACTTGTCTGGATGATGATGGGATGTTTGCCAAAGTCTGTCATGATACAATTTACATTTAGTTCAATTGGCTAATCTTGATGTTTTTAATTTGCATGAATGCAATTGGACCTTTAATCATTTAATGGATCAGTCAGTGTGGCTTCTCATTTTTATCCAATCCTTTGTCCTATAGGATTTTTACGCCCTATTACGTGTAGTTGGTCACATTGCTGTAATTAAATACAATTTTTATACATTCATATTTTTAAGTAGTTTACAAAGGTTGAACTTTTACTTTAATTCAATTTCAATTCAGTTTATTTATATAGCGCCAAATTCACAACACATGTCATCTCAAGGCACTTTACAGTTCAACCAGATCATCCAGTGAAATTGATACAAAGTTTTCTATCTAAGGAAAACCAGTTGATTGCATTGACTCATTGACTCAAATACAATCCCCCACACTAAGCATGCTTGTAGCGACAGTGGAGAGGAAAAACTCCCTTTTAACAGGAAGAAACCTCCAGCAGAACCAGGCTCAGTGTGAGCGGCCATCTGCCGAGGCCGACTGGGGTTCAAGGAGACAGAAGCAGAGACACAGAAAGCAGCTGTAAAAGGCGGCCCCGTCCAGGAAACACGCAGCCAGGCAGACGAGCTCCAAGGCAGCTCCCATGCCAGAGGACGAAGAGAGCACATCCACTCAGTCACAGTCAGAGAAACAGGACCACACTGGAAAACCGGCCGATCTCCAACATCTATTAACAAGGGTGTTGATAGAAGCAGCACAGCTGATGTTTTTTCCAGGATGACGTCACAGCCAAACAGGAACAGACGAGGCAAAGCTACTCTGAGGAAAAGCAGAGAGAGCAGAAGGTTAGAGATTGAACTAACAGATTCTGCAGAATAGGAGAACAGAGAGAGAATGAAGCAGAATGATGAAATGGGGGTCCCTATGTCCTCCAAAAGTCTAAGCCTATAGCAGCATAACTATAGAGATAGCTCAGGATAACCTGAGCCACCCTAACTATAAGCTTTATCAAAAAGGAAAGTTTTAAGCCTAGCCTTAAAAGTAGACAGGGTGTCTGCCTCACGGACTAAAACTGGTAGTTGGTTCCACAGGAGAGGAGCCTGATAACTAAAAGATCTGCATCCCATTCTACTTTTAGAAATTCTAGGAACCACTAGTAAACTTGCAGATTGAGAGCGAAGTGCTCTGTTAGGAACATAAGGAACAATCAGATCTCTGATATAAGATGGAGCTTGGCCATTTAAGGCTTTATATGTGAGAAGGAGGATTTTAAATTCTATTCTGGATTTAACAGGAAGCCAATGAAGAGAAGCCAGGATAGGAGAGATATGATCTCTCTTTTTCATTTTCATCAGAACTCTGGCTGCAGCATTTTGGATCAGCTGAAGGCTTTTAACTACAGTTTGTGGACTTCCTGATAGTAAAGAATTACAATAGTCCAGCCTTGAAGTAACAAATGCATGGACTAGTTTCTCAGCAACACCCCTGGACAGGAGATTTCTAATTTTTGCAATGTTCCTCAGATGAAAGAAGGAAATTCTAGAAACCTCTTTGATATGGGATTTAAAGGGATAGTTCGGTATTTTTGACATGAATCTGTATGGCATCCCGATCACAAGCGGCATGCAATCACACTGACTTACCCCTGGCAGCGTCCTGTGAGCAGAGTTATCGTCCAGTTTTGGTCAAGCCGAAAGTAGTCCTGCAGGTTTTTAGGAACAGCGAAATAAAACTTTTCTCTTCCCAAAACATTATGTGTCCAAAAGAGTGATATTTTCGCATCCCAAAAACATTGTAGTGGAAAAAGTCACACGTCGTTATCAATTGGTCCTATTTTCTCTCTGTTCGTATCAGTATCATACCGAACTATCCCTTTAAATGACAGTTCCTGATCAAAAATAACACCAAGATTTTTTACTTTATTATCTGAAATCAGTTTAATCCCATCCAAATGAAGTGACTGGCTAATCAGTTTCTTTTTTAGAGACTCTAAAAAAGCCACTCTAAAAAAAACACTTTACAATCTTTTAAGGTAAGTATGGTTGATCCAACAGTTTGGCAGCTGCTTTACCAGAGAAAACAAAACTTTGGAGTGGTTTTATGCTAATGTAAGATACTCAATCTTGTTTTGATCACAGTATAAGCCCCTTTAGAAGAGTTGCATTAAAATGAACTGTGAGAAGATGGTCACAGGAAGCTGAAGAAGCCCTGCAAGGTTATTTTGAGGCTACAGACTGGGATGCTCTGTGTCAGTCACATTGAGAGGACATCAATCCAATGAGTGAGTGTTTGACTGACTACATAAAATTCTGTGTAGATAACACCATCACTACCAGAACAATGAAATGCTCCCATTAATAGACCTTGGATGACCAGTTACCCAAAGGAATTGCTAAACAAGAAAAGGGTCTTCAGGAAGACAGACAGGGGATTAATGAGTATACAGAAGCTACTTAAAGCGAAGGTTGGTAATGGTGGAGATTTAGCAAGATTTGAAAGCAGCACAGCCCTCACCCCTCCGTTGTGCAGAATAGAGAGCATCCCCTTGATGAGGCTGTTAAAAAGTATCTTTAGTCAAAGGCTTTTCCAGATCTCTACAGAGGATCCTCCCAGGCTAAAACTATAAACAACCATAATGACTTGTAAAAAGGCCTATATATATATATATATATATATATATATATATATATATATATATATATATATATATATAACAACTATTTTTTCTCACCCCTCGTGGGGTGGTATGTGTCATCCTCAAGCTCGAGTCCTCTCGGGTCCTCAGAGTAGGGGTTTCCTGGGAGTTTGAGGGTTCTGCACAGTATCTTTGTTGTTCCTAGGACTGTACTCTTATGGACCGAGATGTCTGATGTTTTTCCAGGGATCTGCTGTAACCTCTCTTCAAGTTTGGGGGCCCTAATGACCATGGGTACCACTGATGCCTTGACCTTCTAGGTTTTCTCCAGCTCTTCTCAGAGCCCCTGGCATTTCTCTAGTTTTTCTATGTAACCACAAAGGCTTTCCTCTGCTTTTTGTCCACCAGCACAATGTCTGGTTGGTTTGCCATTACCATTCAGTCCATCTGTATCTGGAAGTCCCACAGGATCTTGGCTCGGTCATTCTCTACCATCTTTGGAGGAGTTTCCCACTTTGACCTGTTTCCAACCCCTACTCTGCACAGATGTTCCTGTGCACTATTCCAGCGACTTGCTTATGGCGCTCCATGTAAGCTTTCCCTGCCAGCATTTTACACCCTGTGGTTATGTGCTGGATTGTCTCAGGGGCCTCTTTGCACAGTCTGCACCTGGGGTCTTGTCTGGTGTGGTAGATCTGGGTCTCTATTGCTCTGGTGCTTAGGGTCTGCTCCTGTGCCGCCATGATGAGTGTCTCTGTCCAGTCCTTTAGTCCGGCTTTGTCTAGTCATTGGTAGGATTTCCTGATATCTGCCACTTCAGTTATGTTTTGTGGTACATCCTGTGTACGGGCTTATCCTCCCATGTCGGAACCTCCAACACCTCATCTTCTGTTCCCCATTGTCTGCGACATTCACTGAGCATGTCGTCTGTTGGAGCCTTGCCCTTGATGTACTTATGGATCTTGGATGTTTCATCTTGGATAGTGTCTCTTATGCTCCCTAGCTCTTGGCCTCCTTCCTTACGGCTGGCGTACAGTCTCAGGGTACTGGATTTGGGGTGGTACCCTCCATGCATGGTTAGGAGTTTTCTTGTCTTAACATTTGTAGCTTGTACCTCCTCCTTTGGCTAGCTTATTATTCCTGCAGGATACATGATTATTGGTAGAGCATAGCTATTTATTGCCCGAGACTTATTCTTGCCATTGAGCTGGCTCCTTAGAACCCGCCTTACTCCTTGGAGGTATTTGGCCGTAGCCACTTTCCTTGTCACCTCTTTGAGGTTGCCATTAACTTGTGGGATTCCAAGGTACTTTGAGCTGTCCTCAATGTCTGTTATTGTTCCTTCTTGGATTGAGACCGCCTCTGTGTGGACTACCTCCCCTCTCTTAGTCACCATCCAACCACACTTCTCTAATACGAATGACTATATATATCCTATAAAGCGGACCTATTTGACAAAGGATGGATGAAAATTACTAGGTTCTAAGGCGGAGGAGGAGAGAAGCTTCATAGATGTAGGGAAAGATGCTGAGATGGGGAAATTATTAGCTTCAGAGAACGGCTGATGAAAGAACATTGGACATTTACAACCATCTCATTTAAAACACTCATAAGATTTATACTGAAACACTAGGGGCCATTATTTACACTGGTCATATACCGTTATTATTGGTGGCTCCTTAAGTGAAAAAAGAAGACCCCATTTTGACTCGTCCCCTTAACATTTTAGGATCTGTTCTGTTTTTTTCTTTGATGTATTTGCTTTGAAATTACATAACAGCCTCTAGGCTTTCTTCAAAACCTAGCCTATGAATCACAGAACTATCAAACAGACACTGTATTCATTTGAAGGAATGTTTTTACATCAACTATTACTTGAATATATAAAAGACCTTTTTTTGACAGTATACACCAGGGGTTTGCAACATCCTGCTCCGGAGCCACGAGTGGCTCTTTGTAACCTCAATAAAGGCTCTTAACAGCGGCCTAAAATGATTTTTTTTTTTAAACATCTGATGTAGTAATAGTCTGAGAAGCTTTTCTTGGTTCTTTTAATACATTTTTATTGGACTTTCACCATAGAATGACAGTAAAAGAACCAGAAATATGATTAAAAATCTACTTTCCTTGTCATTAGCTTGAGAATTATGTGGGTTATGTTTTATTGTGTTATTTTTACATCAAATAATAACCTGTGGATAAAAATCCAAGATTCTTTGTAGAATATTTGATGTTTTTGTTATTTTAAAACCTAAAAATGCAACAAAAAAGGTTAGTTGTTTAAAAAGCAACAAAAAGGTTAGTTGTTTAAAAAAGCAACAGATTTTCTATATCAGATATTTAACAAAAAATAATTAGCCATGTCTTGTTATAATTTTTATACAATATTTGCACAATTAGGAACGACAGGGGACATTTGGTCTTTTAATTTTAAACTTTTCTGCCCTCTGGTAAAAACAGGCTGAGCTACATTTGATTATGGTTTAAATGTTATCCATCTATCATCTATCTAACTGGTCAGCAGTCCATCCATGTACATAGGTACAATTTAGAGACACCAAATACCAGTGTTGGGCACGTTACTTTGAAAAGTAATTAGTTAAGACAAGACAAGAACCTGCAGAGAGTTTTGCATTTATTGTAACTCAACGTCAATGACATCAGGGGGGGAACGGTATCTGATGGGCCTCTAAACCCCATCAGAGAGCGTTCCCCTTGCTTAACATGGGGTTTAGGTATCTGATGCGGTGTCATCAGGCAATATCATCAGGCTGCATTACCTCTACTCATTGGGTGTGAAGTTTTTTAACAGGGCATTCAGATCTGGTGATTGTATGAAATTAATAACTGGGGATGTCTAATTCTGAAAACCTGTGTGTTTGGGTTGTTATAGATACTGCAACATCTATCTAGTATCTATCTATCCATCCATCCATCCATCCAGTTCGCCTGTGGCGTGAGCACAGGGCGGCTGTTGCCCGCCTTTAGCTTGCGCGGTGAATCGTGCCGCCTGCGCTGTGCAGAGATGCAGGGGAAACCGTATCTGATGGGGAAACGCAGCTCAACGTAACACCGGTATTTCCATCTGGAAAACGACATTTTGCTGCTGGAGTCCTCCTCACTCTCCATCTCTCTGTGTGTGCTGTACGTTAACACCCGTAACAGCCAATCTCATCCTTCCCTCTCTCATGACAAGGCGCGCACGGGTCCTATTATGGAAAAAAAGTTCATTGTGCGACCTGAGTAACGCGCAGTAACGGGGTGTCTGAAATGGTAACTGCGTTATAGTTACAGTCAAAGTAATTAGTTAGATTACTCGTTACTAAAAAAAGGTAACGGCGTTAGTAACGCCGTTACTTTCAACGCCGTTACTCCCATCACTGCCAAATACCCTGACACTCATGTATTCTGATTGTGGAAGGAAGCTGGAGTTCCTAAAGAGTAGTGTTGCTCCTTGGTCTTTTCTAAATTAATTAATAATTGCCCAGTGTGTGTTTGTTTTCCTGTAATGTCCGGGGTTTTTAGCCCAATGTAAACTGGCTATCAGCACCCCATGAGCCTGCAATGATAGGTGGATACAGATAATGGTTTTGTTTTAATTTGACCAAAATTTGTTTTATCTGCCTCCTACCAGAGCAGCTTCTAACTGAAAGGAATCAAAGGGACATATAAATGAACAGTATGAAATGACTAACACGCTTTAATAGTTCATCCTTATTTTTTACTAAACAAAAGTGTCTTCATGTCAGCTTAGCTGGTTATATAACTATAGATTTTTCTCTGAAAGAGAACAGAGGACAGAATGAGAGCAGTGTGAGATGATGATGTGCAGCAATAAGAAGTTGTTCTATTGGACCAGTCTTTGTTTATCAGGCTGATAAGCTGAGTTTGATGAGAGAAATATGCTCCGAATGAAAAACAAACTGCAATCAGTGGTTTTATCTATAGTTTCTTCTATCTTATGTTCATCCATGCTCCTTTGTTGTGTGTTTGATCCATAACTCTCATATCTTTATTTTGTTTTTGCAAACTAATTAAGTTGAAGCTGATATGTTTTGTTTGTTGTTGTTACAGAATGTATATCTTTCTCTATCAGTAGATAGTGTTAGTGACATTTCATGGTATGTATTTGAGCATCTTAACTCCATCCTAACATTAGTGATAAATAAGATGAGAAAATTCAAATGTGCACCAAAATTAGAAGAAGAAATGCAGAGAGCGTTATTTCCCAGGTTGTTTGTGTCATTCATATTGAGGGTTTATTTCATGAAAACGTTTTAGCCGGGGCTTTCTAGTTTATCACCGATCAAGCAGCACATGGTGGAACTTACTTCTCTGGGTTGTCGACCTCCTCCGTTACAAAGTTTAGATAAAACCTGAAAAAAAAACAGCAAAAAAGAAAATTAAATGTAAATAAACAGCAACAGATGCAAAGTCCATCTCCTTGGACTGAATATTTCATCACATAACGAGATGTAACCAATTACACTGTTTTCTTTCAATACATCAATGATATATCTGTATTTTAATGGTTTCTATGAAATGTTACTAGTTATTATGATGTTTAGGCCATGTTTATACCTCAGAATGACTTGAACTGGTAAACTGAGAGTTATGTTACACTAGACTTAATAAAAGTTACATATCATACAGTCCGTGAGGCAGACACCCTGTCTACTTTTAAGGCTAGGCTTAAAACTTTCCTTTTTGATAAAGCTTCTAGTTAGAGTGGCTCAGGTTATCCTGAGCTATCTCTATAGTTCTGCTGCTATAGGCTTAGTATGCTGGAGGACATAGTTTAGTGGTGTAACCTCTAACTTTATGCTCTCTCTGCTTCTTCTTATAGTACAGTAGTAGCCATTTAAAATTTCCCCACTTTCCTTGATGGGTCCCTTGCGGGTCCTTGGCTGGTCCCCTACAACTGCTTTTTGAACATCAATTTTTGTAGTAAAAAATATTCTTTCTTTCATGATTTGTGGACATTAAGGTCTAAAGAGAAGAATCTCCTGCTCAGACCCTGTAATTCATTGAAAGGTTGGAGTTAGGGTGAAAAAATATGCAAGAGGGGGGCACTGCAGGGGCTTGAAGTTGGAGGGGATTTCGCTGGGAGGGGAGTGGGCAGCCATTGGACTGGATGGAGAAGGGTCATTTTGAATGGTTGCTACTGTAGCTCCATCTATTCCTGTTCTTTTTTGACTGTGACTGGGGGGGGGTAGTGTTGGCCTAGTGGTTAGAATAGTGTACTTCTGCTCTGAGAAGGTTGCAAGTACCCTGTTCTATTCCCACAGTCTCCACTCTGGGTTCCTGAGCAAGACCTTTAACCCCACACTGCTCTCCGGGTGCCGCACAAGGACAGCCCACTGTTCCCCAAGGGGATGGGTTAAATGCAGAGGTACATTTCTCCATAGGGAGATCAACACATTTCTATTATTATTATCCTGGAGAGAAATATCATCTGGCCCACTACTGTCAACACGTTTAGTTCTAGATGAGTTGATCCTGTTTTTTAGTCTCTAGTCCTATTTCTCTCCACATAGCCAGAGGTTCTCCCCTTCATTCTTTTCAGTGTTGATCTTCTTAACAGTTTTCTTACCTTCTCTAACATAGAAAATATTTATTGATAGGAACACCGGGTAAACTTAGTGTGCTTTCCCATTTCTCTGAACACCACACGATTATCAGCTTGAGAGAGACGGCACCTTCAGTCCAGCATATAAGAAGTTTCCCCTCTAACTCCAACTTTAGGTTAATCCCTAAGCTTAAAACATTTGACATTCAATCTGTTAACTACCCTGCATCTGATCACAGTTTTTAACTATATCATTAATTTAAAATAAACACTAAAAACTAATTTACACATTTATTTACTTTTTTATAATAATCAGGTAAACCTTGGGTTTCTACCGCATAAAAAGAAACATTTTAAGTCAAATGGTATTTAAAGTCCATATCCACACAAGCATATATTCATAGCAAGACAGACTGGATGATAGGAGACTCCCCACAAACCAAAAAACAGCATCCAAGACGTAAAAAGGTGTATTTATTCATGTATATAAATAGTTAACTCATTTAGGTTTATATGAAAAGTAATCTAAGCATAATGTATATTTCTTATTTTTACAAGTAAAAGTCAAAGAAGCAATAAAGCAAAGACGACGATCCAGCAAAGACAAACTGCAGAGGAGGGTTTTATATTTATATATACACACTGAGGAGACGACTAACAGGACAGATAGTGGAGTAATGATCTAAGTGGGAGCAGGTGTGCAGAAAAAACTAGAAGAAGGCTGTGTGAACATCCACCCTCACGCCTAAATCCCTCCATCTCTTTTTTTCTTTTTAACTGTAGGCTGAGAGTAGGTATGAGTCTCACTACCCGATCCGTCCCGGAAGCAGGATCCGTCCTGAGCATGCACAAACAGTATAATAATAATGATGTAATATTGGTAATGAAAATATTCATTACTTAAAATGTTAAACAATGCAGGTTGCTCAGAGGTGCACTGGGTAGCACTGCTGCTGTGCAGCAAGAAGGTTCTGGGTTTGATTCTCAGCCTGGGGTCTTTCTGCATGGAGTTTGCATGTTCTCCCTGAGCATGTATGGGTTTTCTGCGGGTTCTCTGGCTTCCCACAGTCCAAAAACATGACTGTTAGGTTATTTGGCTTCTCTACTGGAATCGCCCACCCTGCTCTAGACTGGTGAATCTGATCCAGCCTGGATCTGGTAAAGTTCTCGAGCTTAATGCTACAAGCTTGATCCAATGCCTTACCGTTGGAGCTATGCATTCCCTTGTGGGATGTTTACTATATAAAGCCCTGCTTATTATTTCTTGCAATTGCATCTGGGTGATTATGAATCTTAAACGGAAAACCTTTGAAGTTCTGAGTTGGCTGAATACTTTTAAACGAGCAGTCAGCTGAAGCAACTGTAAAAGAAACTGACCTGGATTGATAAGGGCCAACTCTGACTGCTCCAAGTGCTAAATATGTCAGCACCCTATCTGGCTGTGATAAGTAATGAGACGTTAGCAGATTATCTGAAATAACAGACAATCTGTGGGGATCAAGGTTAACCTGAGGGACATTAAATAAATGTTTGTTTTTGGGAAGAAGTTCATCCCCCATCTAGTCCCTCCATCCTGGACACGTCTGACCAGGGAACGGTCTCCTGTCATTGGAAGAGAAGAGTTTTTGATTTGCTATTTCTACCGTAACTCCTCTAATATACTGTAGGCCAGGGCCTTTATTTCACTCAGGTACATCTTGGTCCAGGCCATTATTGGAAGGAGGTCAGGAGGCCTCTATTTCTATTTGATCAAAACAGACGACCAGTCGAATGAATAAAAAACAGATTTGGTGTCTCTTTGAACCTATAAAATACTAGGTTCATTTACTGAAAAAGTCGAGTTACCATAACGGTATACAAAACTTATTCAGACATCTTCCAGCAGCTGCAATTTTCTGCATGGTAATACGAAAAAAAACAAAAACCGAATGGAATATTGAAAAAAAAGTAATGCAAACTGTTCTGCCATCAACAGTGAAATTTTATTTGAGGCAGGCTAAGTGGAAGTAGGCCACCAGTATCATATATTTCAAGAGAAATTCAGAACAACGAAGGCCAACGAAATTCTGTCATTTTAACGCCGCCTGGTTACAAACAGACCTACCGGTGATCACATGTGTCTTTCAGATCAGAACGATTGTGTGGCTGCTCATACTCCTGCAGCAGTGCATCGCAGTGAGGTTTACACAGACATTTTTGATTTATGCTCAACATTGAAGCGTGGTCTGTGCTACCCACTGTTGGTCTAGATACGGCCGAGGTGATAAGGAAGAGGGGGTGAGTTTAGTCCGACAACGGAGGGACATGAGGGCCAAAAAGAGCGGAGATCCAGGTGGAAAAAGAGTCCCAGCGTTCTCGCGCACCTCACTCTTCTAGAGGATCAAATTTCAGGAGTTTTTTTCCGCAATTTCAGTCATGAAAACAAAACTATTTAACTTTAGGCAATACTAGGCAGTTCCGCAGGGCCCCATAAAACTCTGTTTACATGTATAGTGAATAGAACTATTCCTTATTTGTTCACATTAATTATGATTTTGATCAAAATCCTTTTGCTAAAATGTCATCAGAACGCTGATAATATTAAGTGTGTCTCAGCCCCCCCCCCCCCCCCCCCCCCCTTCAGTGTCCACCATATTGGATCAGTCCATTTGCTGCACATGTTCAGAACGGTCCACACAGACAGCAGCAAACCATTTGAAAACAAACCATGCAAAGAGCAGTGTTGCTAACTTAGCGCTTTAGTCGCTATATTTAGCCACTTTTCAGACCCCTCTAGCACTTTGATTTCTAAAAAGCTCCTAGCGCCAAATCTAGAGACTTTTTTCTGCTACTGGAGACTTTGGAGACAACATCTAAAAGCAGCGAACTCTGCTCTCCAGAGCGAGTAGATTGGTAACCCCGCCTCCTGCTCTCCTCTATCTTGTCTGCTGTCATGATTCATGCAGCTATTATTTCATCCAAATGAAAAATGGAGAACAGATAAGCAGATCATGGCTTGTCTACAGTGAAAAGAAGGACTGGTTTATTTACTTTGGCCTTTTTGGAAACACAGGAAGGAGCAATCAGCTAAGTGAGCTTAGTGCTTGGAAAAAATCTTTCATTCCTTTAGAGACAGCATGAAAAGTCAGCTGAGTACAAAACATAGAGAGGAAAACAAGAAGAAAAGGGACAAGAAGAGAGGGACACAACCTAGAACAGATAATGGATGTCTATTCTATTCACATTTCTCTATCTGGATAATGGGTCTGTTCTATATGTTGTCTTCTCCATTCAGAGGGCCCCCTGCCTGTCTTTGCCTAGGGCCCCACATTTCCTAAATCCACCCCTACATAGGCATTTACCTGTGCTTTATCCCATCAGGTGTGGCAGTAACTAATGATATAAAAAATGTGTAAAAGTAGTTGATCATACTGTAAGTTTGTCACTAAATACATTTCAAGATGCCTTTATGCAAGAAAGATCACCTCAGTGCTTCATCTATAAAATCAATTGTCAAGAATTAGCCTATGTCTGTGTTGAAGTGGCAGAGCTCTGGCGTTGGCTGCTTATTTAGCAGGACAAAAACTGGAACAAACAAATTCAGCTGTGTAGTCAGTTGATCAAGATTCTGATTTTACTTTTGAATACGTTGATAAGAGTGGCGCTGTCCCTTTGAAAGACCAACTTGAAAGTTAGGCTAGCTAAGCTAACCAGGCGGCAGTAGCAGTGGGAATCCCAAGAGAGGGAAGTATAGTTCTAAATAACATGGCGGTTGGTCAATAGACATAAAAAATAAATGAAATTTAGATTATTACATTTTTATATTTTCAAATATATAATATATTTTTTAGATGTGAAATATAAATATTTAATCGTTAATGATGAGCTGTTTCATTTGTCATCAGATGATGTGATGAGGTGACATATTTCCACCCTGGGGAAAGCGCACCCCCTCCCTCCACAGCGCTGACGTCACAGTCGTCTGTTAGGAAGTGCGGCTGATTGACGGATTTATAGAATTATTTAGCTACAAGGCTAGGCTAACTGCATGCAGTTAACTGCATACATTCTCTTTTGAATTTGGAATTTATAGACATGTATATTTCATGAAACTGAAGTGATAGGACTGCAAGAGAGATCACGAGTTGGATGTTGTTTTTTGGCTTGTAGGGATCCTTATATTGTAGAATCTACTGTCTAGAGCTTCTACTTCATATAAATCTATGCTTATGTGCACATGGAATTTAATAAATAACAATTTGACCAAAAGATATTTGATATTTACCTGGTTGATGAGGAAAAACTTGACATATTAGTTTTTAGAGGTTATGACTCATAGAGTTAAAAGGCATACAGGTAGAAATAAGTTAATTTCCAATAAACTTTTATGATTAAGGATCTACTTATAGCTTGTTGGCCCTGAAGGTTAAAGGAGAACCAGATCCCGAGGTTTAGAATCCAGTGGTTTTCCTGGGAAATTTGTCCACCTGTGTCCTTGTGCATCATACCTACCAGCCGGCGTAAGCGTACATCCCAGAGTAGAAAGCCAGGGGCATTCCAGAAAGCTGGACGTTGCTCAACTCAAAGGCATTCTCAAAGTTTTTGGTATTTCCTGGACACACAAACAGACAAACATATGTTAATTTAGAGGCTCAACTGCCATGAAAATACACATGCACGATACACTGCTGAGCAAAAATTCAAGGCCAGTTGAAAACGTGAAGAATCAATGTTTTGTACTCTTGGATCTTAAGAAGGTTCAAATCTTCTAAAAGCAAAAGAAGAGGAAATGGGAGTGAGACAAAGAAAGCTGAACAAGCATGTTTTTGTGTGCAAATAACAATAAAACCCAAAACTTAAAATCAAACCACATTTTGAAAATAGTGCTCAGTAATGAGTAGATGCAACAATCTGGATGTTGAGGATGCTTCATGGATGGCACTCTCTGGACCGGTGTCTGTTTGGAAACTTTCTTTGCCATCCAACCCCAAGAGGTTCTCCATTAAATTCATGTCAGTGGAACATTCAGCGTTGTCCAAATGAGGGATGATGTTTCTCTGGAAAAAGTCCTTTTCAGGCAAACTTTTTCAACTGCAGTCTTGTCCTGTTAAAGAACCCAGTTTTTATCACACAGATGACCCTCATGGCCTTCAGTCATCAGCGATGCCCAGTATTCTCCAAATACTGCAGCCAGCTGCTGTTAGACGCCTCAGGAGGAAAAGGCTAAAGGTCAGAGCCACAACATTTTCATAAATAATTCATTTAATATGTATTACATCCACAGAATATTTAAGGTAGTGCAGAACAAAGTAATAACTGTTCTTAGGTTCTTTAGCAAGTTAAAAAAGGAGTGTCTATGCTACGTTCAGACCGTAAGCAGCAGAAGCAGCAAAAACGCGCCTGCTGCTTCATTTAAAAGTTTAGTTCTGACGCGCGGGTGAAGCATCGTTTGTGCTCCAGCTGCGCAGTGGTAAAGCGGGTCTGATGTGCGATGGGCAGAGCTACTCTATCCTGTTTTTGCCTGGAACAATGGCAGCTATATTAGCTGTGATCAGTGGGTAAAAACGTAGTTTGAATCTATGTTGAAGTGAGGAAGTCCTCCTGAAAACATGGTCTGTAGTCAGTTCATCCAGATTACCATCCTGCCATCAAAGATTATTTCTCTGTGGGAGCCGCTCAGACCCCCACATAGTGGCGGGGCGCTGTCACTGGGAATCCCCAGCAGCAGCTGCCTCAGGCCAATAGGCTCTTCGCTCTTATCCGCCACTGTTCTCAGCGGCTGGAAGGCATTTTTCATGAACGTAATCCAAACTGCAGGCAGCAGGATAATAAAAGCCAACATATTCTGCAGGCAGGTTTCTACATTTTAAGTTAATTTATGCGTTAATAAACTGTTTCAGAGGAGTGATCATAGCGCTCTGCATCAGCAGTGCTGTGTCTGACTCCCTGCCAGCTCCCAGATCAGCTTCTCTGATTGGTCGATGTGATGCGTCCAGCAGCTAAAGTTACATTTTTCCAACTCCAGCAGCTGCGGCTTTTAAAGCTCCCCAGATGCTCAGGCGCTCGTGAGGCGCTGCTCCTGCTGCTCAAAATGTGCGTTAACCATTAATCTTTGACTAGTATGTCTGATTCTGACTTTGCATGTAAACTAGCTGCTTCTGCTGCCTCTGCTGCCTGCGGTCTGATCTTGAATCTCCATTGTTGTGTAAATTTTAGTTTCCTGGTCTTAAACTTTTGATCAGCTGATGAACAGCCTATTTCAGTGGTTTATTCCATTAAATCCCTTTTTCAACTTTGTTCTGTCTCACTCCCAGTTCTTCTCTCTGTCTTTAACAAACAGACCAAACATCAGAATACTACTGGATGTTTGATTGGCCTTAATGTTTGGATCAGACGGTTTACGGTGCTCCAAGCAGAGGCCTTCTGAGGGGCATTATTAGACTGGAGAGAGATTTCCAATAGGTTTATCCAGTTCAAGCTGAGAATGAATCTATATCATTAATGAATACATAATAGAAATAAACTGTTATTGGTGAATCAATTAACCCTGAGCAATGTTCTCTATATAAAATATAAAAAACACAAAAAAATAAACTCTGAGGTCAGGTTTCAGAGCAGCTGTATTTAGTACATGTTACTGATTGACAATAGATCAAACACAACATATGTTGTGTTTATGACCCGGGAATTAAAAACATGAGGAAATATTGAGCCGACATGGTTTAATTAAGCTGTGTTCACTTCAGGCTGAAATCTGATTAACAGCAGCAACTTTAACAGACACACTGTGGTGTTTAATAGCTTATATTAATTAATTTCTGCTGATTAATAACTTGTTCACAGATGGATAGCATGCTGTGACAAATGACTAAAACTCAGGGGGGGCTGCTACTCTAATTAATTAGAAGGCGAGGGAGTTTTAGTTAACGAGGAGCAAATAGGATGGTTTTGTTCTTACAATCAGATAATCCAGGCAGATTCTTTCTAAGGAAAATCATCTCATTGCATCCAGTCTCTGACTTTGCAGGATTCTCTCAGCATGTGGAGGGAATCCTCTAAAAAGCGTGCATTAGGAGGAATATGAAGGGTCCGGCATCATGGGGAGGAGGTGGAAACAGACTCCTCCTGGTTCCAGGGTCTAAATATCGGTTGGGCTTTTTCAACCTCACTGAAGAAGCAGCTTAAAACGGTGCTTTCATAAAACTGGCTCGGTTTTAGACACAAGGAGCCAACTGGAAGCCAACATCGCCACGTCGCTGTGTCAGAAAAAAAGCTGGATTGCATAAAGCAGAGCCGTGTTACCGGCTTGCGTAAGAGTGAAATACACAGCTGAGGCTGGATCAATGCGTGCGGTTCGAAGGTGAATACTAACAACGCTCTGATATTTTTGATTGCTTGGACGGGATTTAGTTTTATTACAATGCCTAAGGCCAGAAAAACGAAACAAAAACAGCTCAGAAAAGGCACTGGGGCTTATTTTAGCTTGAAAAGCAGCAGTTTCACAATTTTCTGTGTATTTATATAGTTATTTATGGTTTATAGATGTTACATTTTGTTATATACACTGATTCTGAAAAAAGTGGAAAATACTTGCTTGATAAATGTTTTTTGGTCATCAAAATGCTTCAGTGTTATTCTATGGGTCAAACAGAAAGCTAAGCATAGAAAAGCATTTGACTTTGGCACATTTAGAAAGGTTTGGAGAGGCTGATGACACCAAAAGTTCAAAGCCCCACAGCTCTGGAACTGTTGTAACTAGAGGTCTAAAATCTCCTGCATTAGTGGTTGACATGATGTAGAACAAATATAATACAATGAGACCTGCCTATTCTTAAGCATGTCTTTATTACTGCTGTGAAAAGCCATGTTTGGACTGGTGCAGCTTAGGCTGTGTTTTACTCACTATTTTCATTTATATACTCAGAAACTAGAAGGTGTAAGCATTCCAATGATGTATCACACATGTAATTTTGTCTTACAGTTCCTCAGTTATTTGCTTTTCCATTTAGGTATGAGCTGGAAGTCCAAAGCAACCAAGATGGACGATGTTCTTGCACCACAGATGTTCCTCCTAATGCCACACTCAGTACTCCAGTTGAGGGGGGATGAGGGTGGGTGGTATCCCCCTTCTTAAAACAATCTTAAAAATCCTCCCCCTTCTTAAATGACCATCCCTGTAACATTTTATCACTGAATGTGTAAATTTCTATTATATAATATATTAACAATAATAATATTGCTCTTTCAACATTTGGCAGGTTACAGTTACGAGTAGCGCACAGCCTGCGCTGTTCTGAACAGCATCATGCCAAAGACAACGCAATTTGAGGGAAGGTGAAAATCAGGAGGGAAGGGAATCTTCCGCAGGTTCTAGGTTTAGCAAATAAAGTGTCAGAAATGATCTAGAATGGTGCTGATAGCAAAACGGGGAATGCCCTCCACTGAGCAGAGAATTTATTCATCGTACTCTGACTGTAGCACATCGACTGAAACGTGTCTCCATACAAGTAAAATCCTATTAATTGGAATTTATCTGTCCACCAAAGCTGTCAATTTTAAGGCCTTCATGTATAAGAAAATAAGAAATATGAAAACATTAAGAATATGTTTAAAATGTCCCTTTTCATTCATATTTCAATCTGTTTTCTAATCAGGGATAGCCATGCCAGTCCAAGGACTGACTGCAGTTCTACTGGAAGGCGCCTTGGTCAAGGTCAATGACTGACGTACCTGACATGGAACAACCAGACCATGCATAGTGCTTTAGTTTAATAGACTATATTCATTAGGCTATGTATATGTAACCCAGTGCATAAATGTTCCAAAGGATGTTGCTTTTGTTTTTTGTAATTGCTGGCGTTACTACAGTTCTAACATGTTTGTCCTGTTGGGGACACCGTAGTTCAGGGGATTTTTGTGCAGGAACTGCTGTATTTCTTACAGTGTGTTTTACTGCCTGTAAGGTAAGCAGCAGCTCTGCTAGCCGGTGTAAAATATACATTACCCTAATATACTGTGCTATTTCTGTTTGTTTAGTTTGCCAGTTAAGTACATATTACATTTTGTACTGGTGATGTTTGATTATTTTGTAAAAAAAAGAAAGAAAGAAAAACAGTTGCTGACAGTGTGTTTTACTGCCTGTAAGGTGGACAGAATAAACGCGCCAAGGTCTCCCCACAACTAAGAGCCCTGTGTCTGCACGGAACAAATCCCACCTTCACCCAAAAGAAAACACAACCAGAGTCCATAGGGTGTCTTCCACCAGGTGCAGGTTAAAAGAGGGAAAGCCTGGGTTACTTATACTTTCAACAAAACTACTGGCCACACTTTTCAAATTCTTTGGTGATTCCATCCACTTGATAAATTCTCAAATAGTTGATTTAAAATTCAATTATAACCATTTTGGTTGGAGTCTTTAACCCTTTATAAGGCACTCAGTGTAATACTTGAAAATCCACATTTCTAGCCAATAGTGTTTTTGGAATCCAGTACAAGACCTTATTACCTTTGAAACATTAAAAAAAATGGATATTCTGATGGCAAAAAAGGAATGTCAATGTAATAACAAGAAACGCAAACCTGCCCACATATATTATGAAAAATAACAAAAGTTCTTCTTAAGAAATTCATGAAAACACATTGAAACGCATTTTTTTTTGGTCCAGCATAACCTTAGAGGCATTAATGCTGACATTGGCACTTGTAGTTTTTTAGTTTATAAACCTAAATATAGTTGTTAACTAGGCTTATTAAGTTTTTAACTTTACTCTTGAACTTTTCAACTAGCTTTTTACCTTTTTTTTTCTTGACTTGTTAACTTTTTGGTTCCAACTTAATTTCCAGTAGGTAATATACACTATATTGCCAAAAGTATTTGCTCACCTGCCTTGACTCACATATGAGCTTAAGTGACATCCCGTTCCTAATCCATAGGGTTCAATATGACGTCGGTCCACCCTTTGCAGCTAGAACAGCTTCAACTCTTCTGGGAAGGCTGTCCACAAGGTTTAGGAGTGTGTTTATGGGAATTTTTGACCATTCTTCCAGAAGCGCATTTGTGAGGTCGCACACTGATGTTGGACGAGAAGGCCTGGCTCTCAGTCTCCGCTCTAATTCATCCCAAAGGTGTTCTATCGGGTTGAGGTCAGGACTCTGTGCAGGCCAGTCAAGTTCATCCACACCAGACTCTGTCATCCATGTCTTTATGGACCTTGCTTTGTGCACTGGTGCACAGTCATGTTGGAAGAGGAAGGGGCCAGCTCCAAACTGTTCCCACAAAGTTGGGAGCATGGAATTGTCCAAAATGTCTTGGTATGCTGAAGCATTCAGAGTTCCTTTCACTGGAACTAAGGGGCCAAGCCCAGCTCCTGAAAAACAACCCCACACCATAATCCCCCCTCCACCAAACTTTACACTTGGCACAATGCAGTCAGACAAGTACCGTTCTCCTGGCAACCGCCAAACCCAGACCCGTCCATCAGATTGCCAGATGGAGAAGCGCGATTCGTCACTCCAGAGAACGCGTCTCCACTGCTCTAGAGTCCAGTGGCGGCGTGCTTTACACCACCGCATCCGACGCTTTGCATTGCACTTGGTGATGTATGGCTTGGATGCAGCTGCTCGACCATGGAAACCCATTCCATGAAGCTCTCTGCGCACTGTTCTTGAGCTAATCTGAAGGCCACATGAAGTTTGGAGGTCTGTAGTGATTGACTCTGCAGAAAGTTGGCGACCTCTTCGCACTATGCGCGTCAGCATCCGCTGACCCCGCTCCGTCAGTTTACGTGGCCTACCACTTCGTGGCTGAGTTGCTGTCGTTCCCAAACACTTCCATTTTCTTATAATACAGCTGACAGTTGACTGTGGAATATTTAGGAGCGAGGAAATTTCACGACTGGATTTGTTGCACAGGTGGCATCCTATCACAGTTCCACGCTGGAATTCACTGAGCTCCTGAGAGCGACCCATTCTTTCACAAATGTTTGTAAAAACAGTCTGCATGCCTAGGTGCTTGAATTTATACACCTGTGGCCATGGAAGTGATTGGAACACCTGATTCCAATAATTTGGATGGGTGAGCAAATACTTTTGGCAATATAGTGTATCATTCAAGGGCTCATCTAATTGGTCAAATGCCAAAATAAGATGTACAGTCATGTAGCAGGATCTTGGCTGAGCGGCTGGATATAGATCTTGTGCTTCTAGACCTCACTGAGGGACGGGGGAGACTCCATTTGTAAGGTGTATGCAAGTGATCACTAAAGGTTATGACACTGAAATGATAAAAAGTGAAGAATAAAACGGGCTGAATGGTCCCTGAAGGGGCCCCTGTGATGCATCACTCACTTGATATGCTGAAGTCAGTTAGCTCAGAGCGAGTCAGAATATATGTTTAAAGGCTCTTCTCTTCTGCTCTGTTTAAAAAACCAATTAGTTTTTTCATTTAAAGGAAGATAGCTTTAGGTTATTTCCAGTAAAGGACCCAATAAAAGCATCTATTTCAGAATAAACAGCCTGAAAGAGAATCAGAGAAAGCAGCGGCTCCTCCTCCAAACACCTGCTGCTGCTGCTGCTTGGACATAGTGAAATTTAGGACATGATTCTTGCTGCGTGCAGCTGCTCCTCACAGCCTGCCCGTCTCCAAGGTCATATTTACTCTGCAGGCCTCAACAAGACTGAGAACGCTATGATGATTGAGGCCCTGAAGTGCTCTTGAGCAACACTCAGTGACTAGGAAAGGTCTTACCTTTGAAGAGCTGGTACATCCCAGGTATGATGATGGTGGCGATGGCCACCAACTTGCTGATGGTGAGGATGATCTGGATCCTGGCCGTCCAGGTGACGCTCATACTGTTCAAGTAAACAACAGAAGCTGCAGAGAGGGACGAATCCGTCAGTGTTCCTCCACAGACCAACAGCTGACCATCATTTCTGACCGGATTTACAAACGTATCATCAGAAACGCATCATTCTAGCTAAAACTGCCACTGTTTCTGTGTCTTCACCTGGACTGAAGAAAAGACTTAAAGAATACGTTCAGTTTTAGAATAATATTGATGAGAACAGTTTTAAAAACATTAAAACGTTCTCACAGTCACGGTAAAAACAGAGGAGACTCTTTATCAGTCCCTGTTAGCGTCTCTGTCTCACCTCAAGGTAACAAAGTCAGGCAAAGATGATTATTTAACAAACAGCATCAGCACAGAAACACACTGTTGCTGTTTCCATGGCAGCCAGCTGATTGCATTTTTTTATCAGTACATTCCCAGAAATTAAGGAACGAATTCAGGGTTAGTGGTTTTGGGTGCGGCAGTTTTCACAACACCAAGGGAACGGTTTATTTCTAAAGGGGGACAAAAGTGATGAAAACCAAACATCCAATCAGCAGACAGCACCTGAACCAGGTGACATGCAGGTAGGTGGAAGGGCTCATTTCTTCCCTCCACCACCCGGTGTGATCATCACTCCTGTATATTAGAATATTCTGAAGGGAAATCTGAGACATTTGTCTCGGAGAGAAAACTGAACCTTACAACACAAACATGATCCCAAACAGCAGAATCACTGCAGGGTTTTACAGTGGCCTAATCCAACAACAGACCTCTGAATAATTTAGATGCTTAGACTCTCAGCAATTTGTTACTTCTATTGTAATTCTTTACTATCAGGAAGTCCACAAACTCTCGCATCCTGGAGAGAAATATCAGCTGTGCTGCTGCCATCAACACCTTTGTTTCTAGATGTTGGAGCTTGGCCTGTTTTCCAGTGTAGTCCTGTTTCTCTGACTGTGACTAACTGGATGTGCTCTCTTCATCCTCTGACATGGGAGCTGGCTCGGAGCTCGTCTGCCTGGCTGTGTGTTTCCTGGACGGGGCCGCCTGTGGAGCTGGTTGAAAGTTGCCTTTTGTATCTATGCTTCTTTTTCTATGTCTGCTTCTGTCTCCTTGAACCCCAGTCGGCCTCAGCAGATGGCCGCTCACACTGAGCCTGGTTCTGCTGGAGGTTTCTTCCTATTCAAAGGGAGTTTTTCCTCTCCACTGTCGCTACAAGCATGCTTAGTGTGAGGGATTGCTGAAGAGTCAATGCATTCGACTGGTTTTCCTTAGATAGAAAACTTTGAATCAATCTGACTGGATGATCTGGTGAACTGGAAAGTGCCTTGAGATGACGTGTTGTGAATTGGTGCTATATAGATAAACTGAATGGAATTCAATTTAATTATGTTTGGCCTCATTCTAAAAGATCTGCTGCCTGTGGGACTTTCTATACTTTCAGCCATCCTTGGCATATAACCCAGAACCAGCAGGTGGAGAAAACATTAGCAGGGTCTCCACAAAACTGAGTAAATAAATGGCAAACCGACTTTTCTTAAAATGTTTCCACTCCCATCCAGGACACTTTGTCATTCTCTGAATCGCCTTATAGAGATCTGTAGTTGGAGCGCTGATGTTCATGGAGGTCCATTACCCCCCCGTCTGTCCTCTCCGTCCAATATCTGAACATTTTGGTTGTCAAAGGTGTCCTTTATTGGTGAGGTGCAAGCGCAGGTGCACAGCAGGATCATGGCACAATGAGGAATTACAAGGTTCCTCCAACTCCCAGCAACTGGAATGACCCACTCTTGCATAGTTTTTTACTCTGACTCCACCCTTTCACTGAGTTACAGGGTCTAACCACGAAATAATGCTTCTCTTTAGATCTTAATGTCCACAAATCACAACAGAAATAATATTTTAGTACAAAGATTGATGTTTAAAAAGGAATTGTAGGACCAGCCAAGAACCCATCAAGGAAAGTGGGTAAATGTTGAATGGCTCCTACTATATATCAGTAGATTTCAAATCCAACATCAAACTCAGACAAACAATGGTTCCTCCTAGACCAGAGCAGAGCAGCTTTTTGTATGCAGTGAGGAGGGATGGACTCCTTTGTTAGGGAAACCACACAACAAATGCATGACACAGTAAGGAGAGCCAGTAGCTCTGGGTAAGATTCAGCAGGACAGCAAAGAACGATCAGAGCCAAGCTGTTTCCAGGATAAACCATCAATGATCGATAATGATTTCACACCAAGGCATGATAATGAGTAATAAAGCAAGAATAAAATGTCATACTTACTGATGCCGATGGCTGTGGCCAGCTTGACGGCCATGGGGGGGATACTGCAGGGCATGAAGAGCGGCTCCAGGATGTACTGCCCAAAGGCCAGAGAAATGACGGCCATGGCTGCAGGCCTGCAGGATCCAACACATTCAAGTCACTTCAAGCTATGACTGGTGTCCTTGGCAACAGTGATCCTGATTTCATCTTTTCACTGACGTCTGACATTAACCTAGTCTTTCAGCTCAGTTGGCTGTTTTGTTGCTGCGACGATTCAAACTTCTTCAAATATTAGTTAGTTCAAACATTTAAAGTCAGTATTTCAACTTTATATCAGAACAAAATAAAAGTCTAAGGAGGTCATTTCTTAGTACAGATGTTTCAAACCTAATAGCAAAACATTTCTCTAATGCAATTTTGGAAAACCTATACATCAGTGGCAACAATTTGATTTGGACCAAATGTTGTTTTTCAAATAAATACAAACGGGACGCCGTTACATTTCTTGAATATTTATAAACATGGGAAATGAAAACATGTGAGTAAATATAGTTGAAGATAAGTGTTTGCTAACCAGAGCGTTTGTAAAAATATAAACTGGATTCCCACTCAAGGGACCTATGGAGGAAGAAAAGTTCATTTCCTTTGAATGTAATTTGAAAACATTAAATGCGGGCATAAACTGAACGATTTTTTCTATCGTTACGCGCAGCTACAGCTCACTCTGTACGACGAAACCCTGCCTTGACTCTGCCGTTATTTGTCGCCGCTCTTACAACAAATCCCATGATGTTTGGGAGGAGAGCTCTTGCAAAGCATTCTGGGATATAACTGCTTTCAGTAACTGTAGCATTTATGGCATTTCTATGTATTTTGGGTGCTAGCATCATCTGTGTCTTTGCATTACTTTTTGTGTTTGCTACAATTTTTTTAAATCTATTTTCAGCTTGTTTCACCCCACATTCCCCCTGTGGAAGACTTCCAGATGTAACTGCAGTTAAAGCGGTTCTACCAACCTTTCCTTAATGGCACTGATTACAGAGGAGTCATAGTTCCTAAAACTTCACATCATTTTATTTCTAATGAACTCCAATACATCACAATAAAGTTAATTCTTGTATTGTGAAAAAAAAACAACAAAACAAAAACTGTGGATTCTATTGCATAGTGCTGTATGGTACTTTCCCCATGATCAACGCAGTGTGAGAAAAAATGTTATCGGAGCATTTGATGTAAATCATATTAAAGGTTTTTTCTTCTATAAAAGTAGCAGATTGGATGTTTAACCTGATTTAATATGCTGGTGAAGATTCTCAGTCATCCAGGTCATAGTCATTCAAAAACGTAAAAGTTTCCAAGTTTAAAGATATTTTGCTTCCCATCCAGGAAGCTTTCTCAATTAAAAATATCAGAAATAGCGTTGAGTTCCAGGCTTTATACATTAGCCCAACAAAGCCTTGTTTTTGTTTAGAAAACATGCAGTTTGAATAGAAAGGTATAGGGTATTACAAAAGAAGCCAAACGACCCCCATTACAAAGGGGTGGACCCGTTCGTCCGTTTCCATTTGAATTTTTTTTTACAAAAACAAGGCATTGTTGGGCTCCCTGGACGTCTTCAAACTTGGAACGTGTTTTTTTTTAATAGACTGATTTAATCTTTTCTACACCTGTTTCTAAATGGACGGGGCTGATCATGCATCTCTAACTGGACCTAGAAAGCCACTTTTAAACGCTCCTAAGCTTTGATGTATGGAGGACCAACTGTGACATAATAGAAAATATTTTAATTAATAAATGTTTAATAAATAAAAATGCCTGCAATTAAACAAAGAAATGATTAAACATGGAATAAATGTATTTTAATTTGCCTTTTTATTCACCTCTACAATAGCTTCCTTTTTAAATATAATTATCATATTCAGCTGTATTATTTGGTTACTTTTTTTTTCTCAGTCTCTGTCCGTACTGTTAAATCAGGCTCAGTGTGAATCTGTCTCTGCACAAACCGTTTCCATAGCAACATGAGCTTCACTTAGCTACGCTGCGGGATGTTGCTCTTGACCGTCGCTGCTTCCACGGTCCGATCTTACGGATGAACAGGGCATCCCTGGTCACTTCCAACTGCAGCCACTGAGGCACTGCAGCTGAGAAAACTCCTCTTTGTTTTCCCCGTTCCTGTTTTCACTCTCTGTTCCTTTCCCATGGCTTTTATGCAAACCGGCCTGCCAGGGGCCAGCATTTAACTGCTCAGGCCAGGATAAGCCCAGACTGTTTGTACAGCTTTGGCTAGGCAGTGTACACATATAGAGCTTTTCTCTCCTCTCTGGTCTTATCTGAGGCTGGGCCTCAATGTTCCCCCCATGATACACTGGGTTTAAGCTGTGCATCATTTGATGGTCACTGCTTTGGATGAAATAACAAATATCACCAGTGGCTTCAGCTCCAGCAAACCTCAGCCTGCTGTCACTGAGAAGAAACTCTCCTTTGTGGAGCATCAGGAAGAAAGAAAAGGTTCCAAAATGGCTTCTTTGTTTCTCATGAGGCTGTGGCCTTACTGGGATTTTACTTTCTACTGGGCAGACTGGTGTTCAGGCTGACATGCTGTATGAGAGAAGTAACATTGGAAGACTGTGGAGTGAAGATGCTCTGTGGTTTAGAGTCTTTCACATCAATGTTGGATCATTTTAAAGGAAAAGTCTGATCATATTCAGAAACCAAGCTTCTGAAAGTTCTTTAAGTATTAAATGATTAGATGCAGTTCAATAAATGATAAGAAGAGGTGTCAAGTAACGAAGTACAAATACTTCATTACTGTACTTAAGTACACCTTTTAGGTATCTATACTTTACTCATTTAGGTATTTTTCTTCCTACTTCTGCTTATTACATTTTCACACAGTATCTGTACTTTCTATTCTTTACATTTTTAAAACAAACGTTACTCGTTACTCTAGGCTTTGATTTAATGTTTGTAAATATTTATTTCATGTCATGTGCTCCATCCAATGCAGATCATTGGCTCCATCCACATCTAGTGAAAACTAGGGTCATTGGATGAGTCATATAACGCAAACACTCATTGGTTAGCTAAAGGAAATCATCAGAAGCAAGCAGGTGTTCTTCAAACTGCTAACATGAATTGTCTATGCCATGCTACAATGTGGGATTCAGAAAAAGATGTTGAAATGTCTGAAAGGTCGAACACAGGTGAGAGCGTATCGGGAGATGGAGACCAACAAGACCTCCCTCATCCTTGGACCTATCTCAAAGACTTTATAGAAATAGTCGGAAAATTGAGCTTTCAGTTCATATAGTTGCATCTGGCTGTTTTTATTAAAAGGTTACTTTATACTTTTATACTTTATGTAGTTTTTGGAGCACATACTTTTTCACTTTTACTTGAGTAAAGAGGTCAAGTTGATACTTCAACTTTTACCAGAGTGTTTTTAAACTGCAGTATCTATACTTCTACTTAAGTAACAAATGTGGGAACTTTTGACTCCACTAATTATAAGTGTTTTCAATTAAGCGTAATGTTCATTTGATTTACTGGAGGCATCCATGTTTGTCAAAGAACACTACTGCCACCTAGTGGTTTGTGACGGTGCGGTATCGGCTGTTGATCAAGTCCCAGTGCTGTATCTGGTGTTTGTCACAACGCGCTATTATCCAAGTCATCTTGAAAACATTCTTCTTCCAAATGTTGGCTACATATTACGGGTTTTTTCTCTGGCCAGAAGTTCGATGGCAAATTGAAAACGACTAACCCGTCCTTGGAGGATCAGGAATCAGAAAGGTGGAATAACTCTTTTTTTTTCACTTTTACCCAATGTATTCCAGCATCCAGCTGCCATGCACGTGGGCATTGTCAGTTTCACTATAGCTCTGGTGAATTTCAATGGTGAAGTCCTCTGGAAATCTTCAATAATTGTTGTTGATTGCAGATGTGTCTACCATGTTAGAGGATGAAGAGAGCACATCCAGCCAGTCACAGTCAGAGAAACAGGACTACACTGAAAAACAGGCCGAAGTCCAACACTGAAGCCTGCATAGGAATAAAGACCCAAGAGTCCAGCTGAGCCAGAAGAGCTGTAATCAAAAATGATCAGTTATGGTCTCTACAAATACAGCCATTATGGAATAGAGGCAAGAAGATGTTGATGAAAGTCCAGCAGGCTGTGCAGAAGCAACAGGCAAATATTTAAGAACATGGACAAAAGTATTACTTTGTTTGGAGCTATTAGAAACTTCTATGAAAACTTGTGGTTTTAATGTGTAAAAAGTAAAATTTCTGGACTTTAAAAACTTTATTCTCGCCTCCATGACTGAATCCTATTGTAAGATAGCTTCTAAATTTTTTACTCTTGATTTAAAGTCATGCTTTTGAAGGTGGTGTGCTGCATTCCAAAGACCAAGGAACATTAAGAAACACCAAAAGATGAACCCTGACTCAAAATGTCATATTTGACTTTATTAAAAATGAAAACATGCATGTGGCAAAAAATTATTAAAACTAAAAAGGCCTTATAAAATGTCATGGCTAAATTGAAATGCTCAAGGAGGGCTGAATGTAATTACATTCCAACACTTGCCTTTAAAGTGAACAGAATGACATTTTAATCCATGTCCTGAGCAGAAATTGCTGGCTTTCTTTTGACCATAGGTGCATTAATTAGTTTGTGTTGTAGAAGTATACAAATGAAATTAAATTTGTATTTTAGGGCTGATTTAGTATCGACAGTTGAGCTGAATCCTGTTTCCCTGTGTCTCATCTACACCCATCCCGCTAATTGGACACGTTTAATCTGTTGCTGTTTAAAGCTCCTGTCACACCTTGATGATTTAGACCAGCGTATGCCTGACGTACGGAAAACCCGGCAAAAACGCTGGCATACGTTGGATTAGTTATCAGCACGCTGGCACACATAGACATACGTAATGCGAATACGTATGAAATGATGCTTGTGCATCATTTCATGGCCATTACGCTACCGTACGTTATGCATAAGTTCATTTGTCATTAGTCATAAGTTCTGGACTCATTATGAATACTGTATGTATTCGCCCAAAATTAAAAAATACATAAAAAGTTCAGCATATGCCAGCATTTTAGGAGATTCTGGGACGTCAGGCAGATGCTGGATAAATCCAAAAGCTGTGACGGGGCTCTAAGAACAAGAGCAAACCCTGATGGGTTCTCCAACCAGTCTGTGTTTGATGGGAGATGGATTTAACTTATTTATCGTCTGTAAGAAGGACGAACTGACATTAAACAAAGACTTTGCAACAGATGTGTGTATGACCGAGGCTCTGATGCGATCTAACTGCTCACACTGTATGTCCAAAAACCACACGTCACACACAGTGCCAAGAGATGGCGCTGGTCAAACTCATCATTCTGGAAGGAGAACTCCCATGTTTGCACATGCGCAGTGCCTGAGGTTCTGATAAATCAATTTGTAGCTCTGCTTTAACAACAGGATTTACTCACCATCTCACGACGGCCGACTGAATTTAAAATATTTTTGATTTTCTCCCAACCTTACGATTCCTGATTGGGAGTTGGTCATCAGCGGCTAATCCCCCCTCGTTACCTCCTGTATACTTCACGATGAGGCTGAAACTTGACCCCATCCAAAAATTATCTCATTACTGAAGAACTGGCCTGAAAAGGGCAAAAACTGATACAATGTATGCCCAGCTTAAGACCATCATGGGTGTGCAGATTCCCAGTCATCTGGGTGATGGCAACCACCAAACAGACTTAAATTAGATGAAACCAGACCTTATCCCAGTTTTTAAAATATATGCAGAGGAATGGACGAAGAAAGGAACAAATACAAAAATGTTGGTAACACAAAGAAAAACATGGAAGGAGAGGTAGCAAATACAAGAGCAAGTTAGCACAAGTTCCAAAATGGCTCCCATAACAGAAGTGCTCTAGACCAATAGGAGGAGACTATCAGCAACTCATATAGGAGCAGAAGATTAGAAGATTCTCTGATAAAGGATGTCAGCCCAGGGGATTGTGGAATCCCCAACAGAAAGAAAAGAGAAGTTTTCCTTTGACTCTTTCCCAAACACATTGGGCCTGAAGGTTAGCATGTCTTCAAACGGGTGTAAACATGTTTGTCCGCTCAGAGCAGATCTTCAGAGAAGGTGTTAGTCATTTGCGTTTCCTGTTCAGCAGACAGGACCTGCAGGCCTATTTTGTGTGTGTGCCTTTATCAATATGCAGATAATATTCTAATGACCAAACCAGGAAATATAACCGGTGGAGGATATAGAATGCTAACCTTTACCACATGCAAATTAATCTGCAACGTAACTGTGGCTGCACAGTGGCGCAGTTAGTAAAACTAATTTGCATGTGCAATTTAGCCGGTTATTATCATTATCATAGCCCCGGTAGCTGATCTAATTACACACTTCATTCACCTGTTGTTCCCTCCCTGCTGTCTAATTATCATTGTTCATATTCACCCGTTCATTCTCTGTTTATTGTTGTATTCTTAGGTAATTGGTGTTATGTTTTTGTGTCATTTATGTTGTGAGTTTTTGTTATGTTCCTGGTTCATGTCCTGAGTCTTTGAGGCCATCATATTCAGAGGGTTTGGCGTTTGTCTCCTGTATCCTGGTCGTTTCCCGACTCTTTTTTGAGGAGCCCTCAGGGTTTTGGTGTGGAACGTGGTGGAGGTCAGTTTTATCTTCTGTAAGTCTGGCTTCATGGTGGAGACCAGTTTAAAGCTCTGCATTTATCCTGGAACCATGTCTTATCTATGTCCCCCTGTAACAGATCAAGGTTATAACCCCATCTATCGACACACTGATCACCGCCCCCTGGTGGAACGGACTATTTGTGTTAGTCTGCAGCGCTTCTTCACCTGTCTTTGTTTTAGCCACTCACAGCTCTTTGTGTCTTTGTGTCTTGGTAATATTGTTTGTTTACAGCTTTTTTTTGCAGTATGTTTGTAATATCCTGCTCTATATCTTCTGTAACTGCAGAAGTTGTGTTTTGCATGCGTTTGTATGTACAGTACTTTCTGTTTCTATTTGTGGTATTGAAAATGTTTTAATGAATGCTTGTTCAATGAAAATTTAGGCCAACAAAAGTGGAGTACATGCAACATTACATCACCTTATTGCAATGAGATCGGCCCAAAGCCGAATAAAAGCCACCTGAGGTCCAAATGCTTCCATTATATATGTGTAATGTCCTCCAGACTTCTTAATGCAGGTTCCCAGCTCAGCGTAGGAAAGAGCTCCTGCAGGGACAAAGGCAACAAATTAGTTCAGCCTATAAATGAAGAAGACTGGTAGAGAAAACGTCACATTTACAGAAACGTAGCCTATAGACTCAATAATCACATCAGGAAATGATTGTTGGAGGCTTTCCAGAACCAAGTTGGCTTTAGAGAAGGATTTCTACCGGCTTGAATCTTAATTAGACTTTGGAGCAACAGGAATAAAGAGAGTAAAGAAAGGGATGAAGAGAAGTATTCAGGGATAAAGTGCTTGGAGTTTTCATTACACCACGGAGACTAAAGGATTTATGGATTCAAAAACACAATATAACACATCAACAGTCCACTGATGTGCAGAGATCTGCTTTAGCTAGAAGAACCAGCACCCTGCTCTGGCTTTATGCTAGATCAGTTATTAGTTGCTGATTAATAATTGGTTGTAGGCTTAAATCCTCAAGGTAAGAAGCAAAGTTTAAACACAAAGTTTAAAGCAAACTTTGTGTTTCTCTACAACTAATGAGGCTCGAATGTTTTCACTTGTGGCGCCTGATGTTTGGGTCGTCTGTTTCTCTTCTACATGCATTTGCTTTGGGTTTTTTTTTGTCACATTTACAGTTTTTATATAATTTAACACATTTTTATCTCACACAAAGAAGAACTAAAGTAGTACAATAAAGCAGATGTGTGAACTGGACAAAGCTTTATTGGCCCCATTAAAGCTACAGTGTGTAATAATTACAGGGATATACAGTCAGAAATGTAATATATTATACATAACTATGTTATTTATCATCATCTACGAGCTCAGCCTCTTAACCTTAATATTTGCGTTGCCTTAGAATTCGTTATTTATAATTACATAGGAGCGGGTCTCGCAGCCATGGAGGCAGACATCTTTGCACTACGGCAGCGCAGAGCCAACAAACTAGCGATTGCGAGATCGCCCATTACGCTCGAAAGTAACTACGGCAAGTTGAGAGAGATGAACTGAGACGGTACTGAACAATATACCCTACACAGACTAATGAAATACTATCTGTAAAATTATCTATGTAAACAAACCTCATCACTTGAGAAGGTAGGTGATGCGGAAGTCGTGGAAGACATTTTGTCCCGTAACGCTCGCCGTACTGTTGGGGGGGAGGAGATGTTCATGTTGCTGCGTCTGCAGTCTGGACGTTAGATGTCGCTAAAAATTACACACTGTAGCTTTAAGACAAATAAATGAATAAACCCAATAGCTAAAATATGAACTTAACTCTGACTGAAACTCATTTAGGACATTTCACCTGCCTCCATTCAGCCATCCCTACATCATGGTAAATGCTCTGTACTCATATAGCGCTTTTTCAATTCAGGGGTTTCAAAGTGCTTTAAACCATTCACGCACACACTGATGGTGGCAAGCTACATTGCAGCCACAGTTGCCATGGGGCTCACTGACAGAAGCCAGGTTGCCGTACACTGGCGCCACAGGGCCCTCTGACCACCATCTGTAGGCATTGCAGATGACGTGTCTTGCCCAAGGACACAACAACACTAAATGCCTTAGCTTGAACGGTCAACCGTTCGATTTCAGGTTTCAGATTTTCCATCCATCCTCCGTCATGCATCCATCCATCCATCCTCCATCCCTCCATCTCTCCCACTCATCTAACTTTAACAGTCATTAATGGAAAAGTGTAAAAAGCCGGGTGAGTGGTGGGTAGGGGGAGGGAGTAGCCACTGATTGGGAAAGGCCCTTGGTCAGCTCTGAACCTGGTGCTGACCAGGTTAAGTTCAGTAGGTCAATCACCATGGTAACACATAGTAAGACTTAGAGTGAGTCAGCTTTTTAAAACCCCAAACAAACCAGACTTGGTCAATTAAGCTTGGCTTAAAACCTTAGCCAGTTTTATCACATCAGACAAAGCTAGCCTGAGGGTTTCAGTTTAGCTTTGTCTGATATGATAATTCAACTTTTCCTTTTTCGGTGACAACTACCTGACAGAGTACTTCTGTGACCCTTTCAGACCTGTGGTGGGTTTGCTCCAGGCTAGTGACCTTTCACATGAGGAGTAGAGCTTCGTTAACAGTTTTAACTGAGAAAGATTTTACTCACATGTATTGTCTGTTTTAAACTGCAGCTCAGCCTGCAGATCAAACAGTGGCTTCTTTTGTGGTCAAAATAATTGATTTAAGTGTGAAAAGGCTGATTAGCGGTATAATAAGTTGCTAATGTTATCAAGGATCAGTTATCTCAGTGGAGGAAAACAGACAATCAGAAATAGGTCACATAGAACCGCCCTGTGATACAAAACAAACTAAAGCTCTTCTGCTTTTAGGATTTATTTTATGACTCACTTCGTCTTCACATAAAATATCACCTGTGAAAAAAGTAAAGTTTATATTGATTTGGGTCAAAGAATAATCATGACACGATGCATCGATCATCAGGTTTTATCAGAGCTGTTACCTTTGGAGCTGGAAACAGCTCAGCTCGTCATTATCTGAGCTAAATGCTTGGATTAGAGTTTCTATTGAATCATTCAAGCTGCTGCAGGTCAAACAGACACTGTGAACATTTGCAACCGACATTACAACCCTGTGGAACCAGATTTGCAGACAACATTACTAAGAGAAGGGATTTAGGGAACATGCGTGTTCCAGCTTCAGGCTAAAACATGACAGCAGCGTGAGTCTGGACCTGTTGCATCACACATTGGGATGAGTAAAAGCAACAGGGAGCATTTTCAGCATTGATGGCCCATTTTTAAAACCCATTCATCTAAACAGCCCCCCCAGGAATCAGCAGTGAAACTCACCAAAAAGTGATAGGACACCACAGGCAATCCAGACTACCAGGGACATTCCTACGCTGCCGGAGTGTTTCAGGATCCCCTTTGGTGAGATGAATATCCCAGCTCCAATAATGGTCCCAACAATGATGGAGATTCCTCGGAGTAGCGTCACCTTCTTCCCCAGTTCCACCTTCTTGTTACTCCCTTCCTGGAGTTTCCCTTCAGGAGAAAACTTTTGGCACTTCAGAGCCCCATTGCCATCTTCGTTGGTGGCAGAAGATCTGTTCATCTTCTCAAAGACCGTCTGACCTGAAAAAAATCTTTGACTTTCTGGACTGGATGACAGTGAGGGTAAAACCACAGTCCAGGGAGAAGAAATGTCACTGGTACAGGTCACTTTAAATCCTCTTTCATGGCTGTTCCTGAACTCTGCCTCAGCTCTCTGACATCACCCAGCTCCTTTATGTCCCTGTTCATCTGGGTCCCTGTCTGGCCCATGCTTTGCCTGCTTGTCTTCCCTCCCCCTTTCCTGAGTCATTCCTCCTCCCTAAAACCAGGTGTGGCTCATGGGGTGGAGGTGTTCCCAGTAATCATGAGAGGACAAGTTTTCTTGATGGATTCCAAAGCAGTTTCTTCCACAGCCCCCCACCCCCCCTAAATGATCCCCACCTGCTGGTACATTGCAGAACTTTTTTGCAATTGTTTTTTATTTTTATTTTTATTTTCCATTTAAGTTCCTTTGAATTTGCTCATGATTGGTGTGTGTGGAGTAAAATCTTTTCTAAGTTTTTTTTTTTTTTGTGTGCGGAAAATGTTTTAAAAGAGAACAGTCTTTTAAGGTTCACTGTTTTTCTGTCATTTTAGACTTAGAGAGGTTTATCTCTCATTTTGTTTAACAACTGTAAAACAAAAAGAAACTTAGTTTGGAAACAGCCCTCTGGACAATTTAATCTTTTTTTTAAAGTGCAGCCTTGAAAAATATTAAATATATATATATATATATATATATATATATATATATATATATAAAATCAGTAATATGAACATATGACTGTAAATTAACAGTTCCAACATTTGTTTTTTTTTTTATAATTATGAAATATAATAAAATACAATAAAATAACCCATTTTACAAAACATTCATCAGTCTGATGGCGGTGGGGATGAAGCTGTTGCAGAACCTGCTGGTCCTGCATTGAATGCTGTGAAGCCTCTTCCCAGAGGGCAGCAGGGAGAACAGTCCATGGTGGGGGGGTGAGGGGTCATTGATGATGTCACGGGCTCGGGACACGCAGCGCTGGGATGAAATGTCTTTAATGGAGGGAAGAGGAGCCCCCATGATCCTCTCTGCTCTGTTCTCACCTTCTTCCAGTCTGAGGCGCTGCAGCCTCCACACCACACAGTGAGACAGCTGCTCAGAACGCTCTCTATGGTGCTTCTGGAGAAGGTGGGGAGGATGGGGGGGGGGGGGGGGGGGGGGGGGGGGGGCAGGTGGGCTCTCCTCATCCTCTGCAGGAAGTCCAAGCGCTTCCTGCGGAGGTCGTGTTTACATACACCTAGAGGTGGTCAACACTGGTCATCAACAGCTTGCAACCAGTGGAGCGTGGTTAGGCCAGGTCTTCCTGAAGTCCAAGATGATCTCCTTCATCTTCTCCACGGGCTGCTCTAAATGCATCTTTGATGTTAGAGTAAACCAAATCTAAAATGTTTTCACCCCAAGTTGCAAAGTCTACATGTTGGTAGAAATGAGGGAGAACATTCTTGATGTCAGCCTGGTTAAAATCCCCAGCAATGATGAAAACAGCCTCTGTGTGCAGATTGGAGCTCAGAGATAGCCTGGTATAGAGTCTTTATGGCCTCTTTAATGATAGCGCTGGGGGGCACATAAACAGCAGTGATGCTAACCACACTGAACTCTCTGGACAGATAGAACGGCCTGCAGTTAACAGTCAGAAACTCCATGTCTGGAGAGCAGAAGCTGGCGACTGGTCTAAAATTTTACCACCAGCTGTTGTTAATGTAAACACAGAGCCCGCCACCCCGAGTCTTACCTTCTTTGTTCCTATCGGCGAGGTATAGCTTTAGCCCCTCCAGGCTAATAGCATTGTCCGGTATTGCTGTAAGCTGGGCCCTTGATTTTACGTTATTACATCATGTTCTACTATCCCATATGAGTTTTGTGTCATTTGGAGCCGTTCTGAAGATATTCCGTTAGATTATATCCAAGTAACGTCTTCCTATGGGCAACGACTTAAAGGCACAAACTAAACTGTTCATAATTTATTTTTCATGGTACGCCAGCATTCATAACATGTAGGCCAATCACTGTCCCCCAGACATCCGTGGTTATATATTTTATATTTATATCTTTTAGACTCATTGACTCTTCAGCAATCCCTCACACTAAGAATGCTTGTAGCGACAGTGGAGAGGAAAAACTCCCTTTTAACAGGAAGAAACCTCCAGCAGAACCAGGCTCAGTGTGAGCGGCCATCTGCTGAGGCCCACTGGGGTTCAAGGAGACAGAAGCAGAGATAGAAAAAGAAGCATAGATACAAAAGGCAACTGTCAACCAGCTCCACAGGCGGCCCCGTCCAGGAAACACACAGCCAGGCAGACGAGCTCCGAGCCAGCTCCCATGTCAGAGGATGAAGAGAGCACATCCAGTTAGTCAGGGTCAGAGAAACTTCACTAAAAGAATTATGTTAACTAGCAGTACAAGCTTCACAATATTTCAAAATGAGTCAATTTTATATTGCTTTTCAGCAAGCAATGCCTTTCCAATACCACCCTGCTCAGATAGTTTCATTTTCTTTTACACATTTGTGAAGATATTCAGTGGGTAGTAATCCAGACAATTCCCTATCATTGTTGTGTGTGTGTGTGTGAGGTTGGGGGTCGTGTTAAGAAAGATCCCGCAGTGCATTGTGCCACCATCAATGGGAGCAACTTATAAGGTCAAGTGTAAAAGCTTTTTTATTAAATACCGTTGCTTTAACACAAAAATTACTTTAAGATGTTTTAAGCGAGAAAGCAGATGTCAAAACTTCATCGCTGCAATCAATTTACCAAAAACTGGCCTATTTTTTATTCGTTTATAGAAAAAGAAAATGATCAGCATACGTTGAAACGTCCTTTCAGAGATTTGAGAGCAGCAGAGCTCCCTGTTGACAGGTCAGTCTGTCTTGCTACATTTGCTCCTTTCTAGTGCTTGATGCAGCAAGAACTTAAAAAAAGTTTGTTTAACCTAAAAAAATATGAACTCCACCAGAAGATCAGCTGCCAAAGCGCACCCCTTCACAACGTCATTGAAGATTAATTGGAAGCTGGAGGGGGAGATGGAGGAAGCCGGGCAGGTGGCTGTGGGAGCAACGAGAAATGGCTGATCTTTAGCTTTATTTCTCCCTACAGCCTCATTTCAACAAATTTCATGACAAATTCTAAATGTATTTGTAGCGTCTCAAAGGGAGACATAAAGCGTTTTTTTTGTGTGGTGTATAACTGTATAAAATGTTTTCTTTTTTGTTTATCTTTGGCATTTTAAGTTACTGTAGGTATTTCATTTTCTATGTCACAACTCAAATTTTCTACACTACAAATTTGTTTAAGCCTCCCCTGAAAATATTTGCATTGTCTACTGATGGTGGTCAGAGGGCCCGGTGGCGCCAGTGTACGGCAGCCCCGCTTCTGTCAGTGAGCCCCAGGGCAGCTGTGGCTACAATGTAGCTTGCCACCATCAGTGCGTGAGTGAATGACTGAATGTAGTGTAAAGAGCTTTGAAGTCTCCTGACTTGAAAAAGCACCATATAAGTACAGGCCATTTATCATTTACCGTATTTTAACAGAGCACCCCTTAATGATTAAAAAGTGCACTTTCACTTTTATTAGATTATTTTAAAAATACAAATCTCTCTAAGAATAGCTCATGCATGCAAACTTAATGAACCTTCTTTTATCTTTTATGTCATTTTATGTAGATAAATCTGCAAGGAAAGAAAGCAGGTTAAGGTTTGGATTTTACTTTCTCACATCCTTCAGTGATTGAGCTTTCTCCACTGCCTGTTCTTTTTTTAAACTTATTTAAATGTTTTCACATAAGATGGCCGAGGTCTCAGTTCTCTTAAAACAGAAGTCCGATCAGCAAGGAATAATAAATGGATCATTATTTATACCTAAAACGAATACATCAGCAGTGATTTAATAAATTAAGCATTAATCAGTAAAAAAAATAAAAAACACCAAAAAACAAACACAAAAAAATTATATTAAAGCACAAACAAAATCACTGAGTCTGGGAGCAGCGATTTTTTAGAAACCCCTCCCTCCTGCCATCTTCCAGCAGTGACGTCACGGTGCGGTAAGCCTAGCGCCATTCTCCCCGCTTTTCAAGCTAAATCAATGGGAACTACTAGACACATCTGCAATCAACAACAATTATTGAAGATTTCCAGAGGACTTCACTATTGAAATTTACCAGAGCTATAGTGAAACTGACAATGCCCACGTGCATGGCAGCTGGATGCTGGAATACATCGGGTAAAAGGGAAAAAAAAGAGTTATTCCACCTTTCTGATTCCTGATCCTCCACGGACGGGTTGGTCGTTGGATCGCCAACTTGAAGAGGGAGGATTTACCATCGAACTTCTGGCCAGAGAAAAAACCCGTAATATGTAGCCAACATTTGGAAGAAGAATGTTTTCAAGATGACTTGGATAATAGCGCGTTGTGACAAACACCAGATACAGCACTGGGACTTGATCAACAGCCGATACCGCACCGTGACTAGGGATGGGGATCGTTAATATTTATTGACATCGATACCTTTATCGATACTGCTTATCGATCCGAGTCTTTATTGATACCACTATCGATACTTTTCTGTTATTTGGTGGAAAGACGATGCAACAACATTTTTTTAACAGAACTGGTATTGCTTTTATTGCTTAACAAGTGAGCATAACAAAAACGTTTCTAGCCTTCAATAAACATGGCTAATGTAATAGGCCACTTCGAAATGACATAAAACTAACTAGAATATATTTTCACAATTGTTGGTTAATGTATTGTTTACTGTCACTTTTCATCATGTTTTTAGTGATTAGGAAAATATTTAACAAATAAATAATTGTATTTTAAATTAAATGTAATTTTTAATAAATGTTGGCATCAGTAGTTTCATTATATATTCTAAAATAATTAGAGCAATATACAACTGTATTACTCATGTTTCTCGCCAAAAACTCAATTTCCCGTTTTCTTTACGTTACACTTGAACGCATCATGATAACCTAATTGTCGTATTACTGAGCCAATCTGAACACATCATCACGCAGCACGTCTGAAACTATTTACTTTTCAAGCTAACTAGCTTGTATGCTGCCGATTACAACACGGATTTCACAATTACTATTTTTAACTGACCGGACAAGCTACAAAGTCTGTGTGCGCTTACCAGCGGTACTCTGAGGGGATGATTAAGACGGGCCCGACTGTGGCAGCCGCAGGAGGAGGAGTCT